TAAATCCTCAGATAAAACATCAATCACAAATTTTGTTTCAGAACAAATTTCTATTAATGTTTATTATAGTGATTAAATCTCATATTCAGCACCTGTCTTTTTATCTATGTTGACTTGCAGGTGACAACAGACTATTGCTAACAACTGTTTAATTAATCAATTATAGTCATACTGTGTATATATTCTTCTAAGGGTCAGCCAATCCAAAAGGCAGGCAGAAGATTTTTGATAACTGCTATTTCAGCGTTGCCGTGAACCTCCGCTGGTCAAAAGTATTGGCTTAGTATTTCCCCTCTACTACAAGCGTATCACATTTCCCTCTGAAAGCCGCTGAATGATTTCCCCTCTTCCTCTTTTTGTCACTCTTATTTCACGCTCTAAATACTTAGTAGTTAATAGCTTCCCTCCCTTCTTCCCATCGTACCTTTCTCTCACACAGACACACTCGCACACCGTTTTTCTCCATGCACAAGTTTACATCGGTCTTCCAGTAACTCTTCCAGAGCTATCAGTGGAGTCTGGTTTTTAATTTGCAGTTAAATGGCGCCCAACACATGCAGCCTGCTTGATAATTGACTTCACTCAGCTGAAGGGAGGAATGATTAGATCTGAATATCTAGGCGATCTTTTCAACTCCAAACGAGAAGGGAGGGAGTAAAAGTAGTGGCTCTGATCTGGCATGAAGTGTTGAGAATGGCTATTTATGGCATACAGGGTGACAAGGTTGGATGACTGCATTAAGCATCTCCACCCTGGTAGAGCAAGTGGACAAGAAAGCAAATAAGCACAAAGCATAAATTAATGAGCCGCAGCATCGTGAGAAAGTGCTGACATTTCTTTTATTTTTCTTCACACTCTTATCTCATCATGTGCTTTTTCAGTATCTTTGTGGTCATCGTCATTCTATTTCCTGCGGAAAGTCCATGATAATGGAGCGAGAGGCTACAAGTCTCATACATTATTGATCAGGGAAACTGAATAGGTGTTCGTACTGACTTCACATCCAGCTCCTTTCTTTTGTGTTGTGTTAATGGTCTAAGATGTGCAGGTTTTTGCAAAGACAATGGATTGAAAACAAGGCTAAGCTGTCCTATCATCTGAGGCCTAATTTACATTTGGACCATTTGTCTCTTCTCTTGGCTTTACAAGTCTGGATTGGTCAAAGCAGAGGAACTAAAACATTTTTAAACTAGGCATATGAGCAAAATGAGCCACATTGTGCGTCCTTCTCTTTTTTGGAGTGAAATGCATTGTTTGGTGTGAGATGATATTCAGCTGTTAGTTTCACAGAACTGAGTTGCCATTGTTGGATGCTGCCTGTGCTTTTCCTGAAAACAGTCTTTCATCAGCATGCACCTCCACTGTCTAGTTTTTATTCACTTCATTAGCAAGCTGCCAGTGCCAAGTGCCTCGGACGCTTCTTTTCAGGAATTGATCATGACAAGTTAAATTTCTATGTGCTTGTGTGGTTTTCTGGTTAACTGTCTCTGTGTGGATACATGTGCATGTGATTATCTATGTGATATAGAATCCACTCTCATGTCTCGGTAAAGCCTGCGCCCCGTTAGTCCTCCCCAGCCATGTTTAGTATTCAGAGAGCAGGCGCTGTCGTAATCTGGATTCTGAGGCAGGTTGCTGGGGTTTTTGTTTGCTCTTATGGCCCTGATAATCTTGTTACACTGCTGTCAAGTGGAGCTGGCTCTCCCTGCAGCCCTGAACCACCATGCGTGCCACCTCGAGTACCAGAAATCCACCCCCACTCGCCTACCCGTCTCTCCCACCCCCCCACTCGCCGCCCCCACCAGCCTGCCGCCATTTTGAGACAGCCGTTGATGGAAGAGCCTTGGATGTATCCTTGAAGAATCACCTCCTGAGCATCTTTATTCAGCTTCCCACCCCCGCCCCCTGTCTGCCACCCCCACCTTAGGCAGCCAACGACAGTGATAAATATTCATCAGGGGGACGCAGTGCATGGATGCTATAGCCTCGGTTCCCCCTCAACAAAGGGTCCCCTAGCTAATGGTGTCCATCCTTGGCAGCCCCCCTGGAGAGCTCCTGTGGAGGCGATGAGATCATTAAAGCACGACACGGGCTCAAGGCCGGACCTATCATGTCACATCAGCATTTATCCCACCAGTCCCCCCCCTCCCTTGAGTCTCAACCTAAGCCGACCCCACCTTCGCGAGCTGCCCTCTATAGATCTAGATGAACACAGACAGCTTTTGAAGGGTGGCTGGGTTGCTCGCGTCGTGTTAGTTCAACTTCACAACTTCCTAATTGGCACCTTGGTTTTGGTCCTTGCTGAGATCAGTATTTTTTTTTTTTACTCCTCAACCTGTTCTTCTCAAGCTCCTCCAAATGTGTCGAGCGTGCATTTTTCACAAGGCTGTTTGCTCTCTCTCTCTCTCTTTTCTTCTCACCCTCTCTCTCTCTTTTCTCTGTCCGTCTCTCTCACCATCCCCTCCTTCCCTTTCTCTGGGTGACCACACTCAGCAATTTCTATTTCCTGTGGGTGTGATGTCTCTCCTCCACAAGCAATCAGCTCTGATTTGTCAGCGTTCTTCCAGGCGATTCATAAAAATTCAGCAAGCCCTTACAAAAGACGTCTGTGTCCCTGCGCTTGCTCCCTACCTCTGCTGCCCCTGTGCTCCGAGCTGCAGCTTCCGCCTCCTGCTCCTCCTGCTAGGCGCACACAAAAGACCTGAAATCATTAATAGGAAATAATAAATGCGTACAAGAAAGACATTGGTGTGTTCTGTTCTCGATGGGGACTATTTAGAGGGTGTACTTGTCAAATGCAAGGGCATTCTCAAATCAGTGCAGCAAGTATGACATGTCTCTGCCACTTTATTTTTTTTTATTTTATTTTGGGGGGGGGAGAAATTACAGGTGTGTTTTTCATTTCTTCTTGTCTGTGTGTGTTTGTGTGAGCAAGCCTCTTTGTCTTTGTGAGGTATGACATGCCTGGTAGTGGAAGGGAGCAGCTGTGCATTGGACCTTGTCTGTGTTGTGCTGCCATGCCCTGTCATTGGTAGCCGTCTGTTGGCAGCAGCCTGTGCTGGAGGGTTGCAGCCTGGGCGCAATCCTTCCACAGTGTCATATGGTGAGCTTTCAACCATGCCAAGCCATGCCTACTATGTTACCCTACCACAGCTGTGTGACCAAATATGCCTCTCCAACCTGGACAATGTGCCATCTCTCTGCATTTTCAAGATTCCAACTGGTTATTGAACAATGTTGGGTCTAGGCGGCTGAGGGGAAAATGACAGGCTTATGTGAAATTTGGAAGAAGCAGCCTTTTTTCCTGCTCTCATCCCAGTAGCTATTAGTGGAGTACTTTCCTGTCTATTTGTCCATTATCTGTGCATCATCAGGCAGACCATTATCCCATTATGTTTTGCATCTGTGGTCCAAATGCTTACTGGAAATGAGTCACCACAAAGGCCGGTGAAAGGTAGGTGTTACTATCAGTCAGCTATTCATAGCCAGCCCAACAGGGATGAAAGTATCACATTTAAAAAGTCCTCTGCAGAACGTGAAAGGCTTTTTATATGGGCATCTGCAGCACTGAGAAGCATTGCTGTTTTATTATGAGCCAGAGGACTTTTTGAAGTGAAAGCATCAAGAATGCGAGTCACAATCTGACCTCATGTTATGTCCCCAGCCTGTGTGATAGTGTCGTATTCAGGTCATTTTTAACAAGCGTCTGTCTCTCCCTGTTTGGCTCAGGTGACCAGTCCACCTGTAGCACCCTTTTGTTGCCATGGAAATATCCTGGCCATCTTAGTGCACTTCAGAGCTAAGACTCGTCTCTTTACACCCCCCCCCCCCAACCCCTTTCTGAGCATTCTGCACACATCATACATATACATGACGACTGGCTTAGTGGGCATGTAGGTTATAAACACATGCACACACTTGACAGTAGTTCTTTTTTAGGGATTATTTTGTTTCTTGTTTTGATGCAAAAAAAAGTTGTAAGAGCCCACATGCATTTGTTTATGTGCTCAACACAAACATACTGTGCCGGGCTGTGTAAATCAGCTTACAGAGGCAATGTGCTGGCTGGGCTGACTGTGGTGGGTGCCTGTGTCGCTGACACAGCATTTACCGTGTGTAGTGTAAAGCACCCAGGGCCAGAACAGCGTGTGTGTTTATGTGTGTGCGTACTTATCCTGAGACAGAGCTCAGACGGTGGAGGGCACCCAACCTTCTGTCTGACTTAACACCAGTAGGTTAGATTTCTCGCCTGCACGGCTTCTCTTGGTGTTCCCTCAGTACTGACATGACAGAATAAACTGCAGTGCAGACCTGTTATTCTGGATGGTAAATGAAGCTCTGCAGTAGTTACAGCATATATCACCTTTTTATTAATTTACTGGATTATAGTCACACAGCAGCCACATCTGTGTCTGACAGTGTGACTGTCTAGACTAGCTTGTACAGTAGATGAAAGTCTGCCCTGTGTCCCTCCAGTTGATGTATTTTAGCTCAGGTCGTATGTACAGTAGAAAGACTGAAGGCTTTGTTGTAGTCCATCCACGTCCTCGGCTGTTTCTGCTGTGAGAGGCTGCACTTAATGAAAGTGACTTCACTTGAGTTTTGTTTTCCAAGAAATCGTTGTGAATCGCTGCCAGCCAACTAAATGTCATCCTCCTTGTGACTTGCCACGCTGCAGTTTGAATGCAGTGCAGGATTCAAGCGAAAGACATTATGTTGGAGGGGGAAATGCATACCACCACGTTATTTGTTCGTAGTGGCAGGTGCAGTTATAGTCCAGGTACCACTCGCTGAACGGACTTGGCATCACTTACAAGGAAGTGTTATGTCCTTGACCCACTTTGTGCCTTGTGTATTTGAAGGACTTAGTCATGCTGTAGCTTCTCTGCCAGAAAATACTTTCTTGTGAATTGCACGTAAATGTTTTTCCTCCAAGCTTTCTTTTTTTTTTTTCTGGTGGCATAGTTCTACATACTGATGGCGGCTTTTCTTATCCACAGACCAACCAGCAGTACAGGTGGACCCGGCTCTTGTGGCATGACTACCACAAACAAGGGAAACAAGGCCTTGAAGGTAATTAGCATGCATGAATTAAATTTGTCAAAGTGGGAAAAAATGGTAGCTGCCAAATGTTAAATGCTAATATAAAACCCAACACTAACAAATCCCCATCCCCAGGTGAAGCGGGAGCCAGGGGAAAATGGCACCAGCCTGACAGACGACGAGCTGGTGACCATGTCAGTCCGGGAGCTGAACCAGCATTTACGAGGCCTGACGAAGGAGGAAATCCTTCCAGCTGAAGCAGCGGCGGCGTACCCTGAAGAACCGGGGCTATGCTGCCAGCTGCCGGGTGAAGCGTGTCACCCAGAAAGAGGAGCTGGAGAAGCAAAAGGCTCAGCTGCAGCAGGAAGTGGACAAGCTGGCCACAGAGAATGCCAGCATGAAGGTGGAGCTGGACGCTCTGCGTTCAAAGTATGAGGCCCTGCAGAGCTTTGCCAGGACTGTGGCCCGCAACCCCGTCACCTCAGCCAGGGGACCCATGGCGTCTGTCATAGGGCCCCTCATCCCTGGTAAAGTAGGTGCCACCAGCGTCATCACCATCGTCAAATCCAAAACGGAGGCTCGATCGTAGTAGCAGAAAGGGGCGGGAGGAAGATTTTCAAGACTAAACTAGTCAGTGCATTGTAACATGGCGCATGCAGGATTACCTGTGTAAGTTCTCAGTTTTAACCCTTGTCACTAACACTAACAATATGCTTCCCAAATTCACTCTCAAAGTATGACTCAGCAGTCTGCACCTGTCAGCAGACATATTGTGCTTTAGGGTGACACAATCAAATTGTACGCAGTCGGTGACTGAAGAATGGCGACCTATTGGCAATACTGAAATGTTTCATTTAAAAAGCAGATTGTAGGTACAAATATTCAAGAAGGCAATATTTGGTGTTAAAAAGTACAAAGTGGCATCAAGTTCAGACTGTTAACAGCTTGTTGGTTTTTGATAGGGGACAGTATGTGTTGTCTGTTTCCTTAAGACTGAGCACTGAGATTTTTCCGTCCTAAGAATTGGCATTTTTAAAGTCTCCAAAACAACCAGTGTGATAATAAATTACAGACATTACTCCAACATAAGCCGAAGAAAGAGCCAGCACATATCTCACTATGAATCCCTTTTTGCTTGTTATTATGCACTGACTTAAAATGGGATGAATAACAAATGGTCACAAACTTTTGGTGTGGATGCTACAGATGTCTTCAAAACAGCCTGACTAACCCAAAACTAGTAAATTAGTCCCAATTTGTGATTTTGTTGGTCGTCTGTCAAGAATATAAGCATGAAATAATGCTCTCAAAATCCAGCATTCATTTCTGTTTATGCATCTGTGACAGGCTTGAATGAACTTGTCATTATCAATATGACTGGTAGATGCAATAATATATGTATGCACTGAAAATACAAAGAGGTCTTGCATATTTATGGTTAAGTGGAAACGTTAAAAATGATCAGCAGTTCTTAATGATATTGTTCCAGAGCGGAGTGCCATTCCAATATGACAAGTTTCTTCTACAATATCTGAAAACCTGAATGTTTTAACAGTAATATCCTCGTGTTTTGTGGGGACAGTGAAATCCACAAACATTTTGAAACATAATTTTTGCTCATAGAGAAAATATGTTCAAGTTGTTTTGTTTAAAAGATATATATTGCATTTTTTGTAATTACTTGTTGACAGGGCCGTCAGATATTTCCAAAAGAAAAATCTTTACACAAGCTTTACTGTTTGAATTGTTAAGGTGTAGAAAACTTTGTCTAATGTTGAGTTCTTGGTTTTTATTACTAGGTAGATTACCTTCCATTGTTTATAGAAATACAGATAAAGAAAATGTAAAAAAAAAAAATCCTGTGACATCTTTTTTGCAATTGTACCGAAAGTGGCTTACTATTGAAGTCTGATAGCTTTTTTCTAGTGACTAGGCGCGTACTGTGGGGTAGCGCGTGATGTGATGTGTAAGTGACAAGTTGGCAGTGTCGTTCACTGTATAGATGTCAATGCTGTGCTATTTAAAACAAATCTGTAGAGCTAAACTAGGTGGTGTAAACAAGGTCAATTGTCTTTGTGCGTATTGGCATCTGTGATATCCTCCGCTTCCTTGGTGTTAGTTACAAATCATATCGTCATTAAGAGTTTACCACATTTGAGCCATGTAAGACAGAATTGGGTGAAACGGCATTAGTGAACATTAACTCAAAAGACTTTTACCTGAAGCTCAAAAGTGATACTGTCACTTGGAAAAAAAAAACTGAATAATGGTTTCGCCTGGTGCTGGATGCCCTCTAAATACATCCTCTTTAACCTCAAAGTAAATGACTTCTTCATTGTTGGGGGAAATTTCATTATCCTATTCATTCCAGCCACCTAATTGGTATGAATTAAATCGCAGGAATAGAAATTAATAGCCCATCAAATTTCGCTTTTGACAGGCTAAATGTAACGTGAAGTTAGCAGTTTTGTAGTTTACCTGTGGACGTGTTTTTTTTTTTTTTTTTTTTCTTCTTCCCTCTCCTCCAAATGCTGTTGAAAAATCAATAAGAAGATTGCATCAGTTGAAAATTAACAGCCAAATGGTGCAGCATCACTTGTGTAAATTTATCCACTGGTCTTCAGATTGTCAGATTAAAAAGCGGTAGGGTTTGTATGCACTAAGCTCCTGCTTGTTTTGCTCAGGACAAAACAGGTCACTCGAAAAATGAACAAACCATTCTAAATAAGAAGGGAAAGGGAGGCAAGGATGGCAGCTCTGTTCATTTTTTTGTCTCCTTTTTTTTTTATAATAAGCATGTCATAAAGGGCTTCAATCCACACTCGGAACGAGACACAGCACGACCACGTAGAATTACAATCAACAGCAGCTGCCAGCAGCGCTCCTTCTGTGCCAAGTGTCGCGTCACTCTCCTGCTCCTCTAAAAGGAATTTAAAAGTGAAGGAGTTTTTACACCTCAAGGTGAAAGCAGTCGTGCAATGACATTAAAACAGAATGCACTTCATCCAGATCTCACTCTCCTGCTGGTCAGAATGTCTTATGGTGTCGGCAAGTTGTTAATCTTAACAGTCACTCTCAAAACTCCGTGCCAGACCTGGGTGCTGGTTATACTGTCTGTGCGCAAGTATCCTATCCTCACTTTGTCAACATGCTTAGCTATCTACATTGACTGGTTAACTGTGGGAAAATATATATCTGACTCTTGACATAGCCCAGTATTGATGTTGGCGTCCTTATTGCTGTGGCAAGTCTTGTGGAGTGAATCTTTTTTCGTGTCAAGTGTCTTTAAAGGTGTTCGAGTGGCACCGTCGACCAATCCTCTCAATCTCCGCTAGAGAATGACGAGTCTCTCTCTCTCTCTCTCTCACACACACACACATACAGGTGTATAATATGTAGCTACAGTAGGTATTAATGACCATTGTGAAAAAGTGACCCTTAATATGCAACTCAGTGGAAAGGTGTGAAAGAGTAGATGTAAGAGTAATCAATATTGTCAAAGTGACTATGGTCTGTTATTTAATAATTCTTGCTGTTTTGTAGTTTTCTTTTGTAAAACGTGTTTTCATTTTGCCCTCACATTTTTGAAATCCCTAAACGGAAGAAGCAATTGGCCCTTGTTTATGGTAGCTAGCAGGTTAAAACCGTAATAGCGTGCAGCGTTTTTTTAAAAAGAATCATGGAACAGTTGCACTTAAGCCTTACTCACTAATTACTCTGGTCTTTTTAAACTAGCTGAATTACAGGATCCATAAATTGGACTTGGATATCTGACTGAAAGATATTGCTATTAATTAAATGTTGGTGCACTGAGTGAAATGGATGCTACAGTAGATTCTGTCACAAGGGCCACTTGCAATATTTTCCTTTCTTTGGTATGCGTGTGTGTGTGTGCGTGTGTTTTGTACGTTTGAGGTTCCTCTGCTGCTACACCAGTCATTAATGCTCATTGTTTGCTGTAGCATCATCCACAGCATTTCTGTTTCTCATTATGTGTTGAGTGTGTATTTGAAATTGATCTTAACACTGTAATTTGTTCTGCAGATTTCCTTTTTAATTCGTTATGGCTTTTTTTATTTTCTTGTTTTTTTTGTGTTGTTTTTTTTTTTTTTTTTTTACAAACAACATGTTAGAGAGGATAAATAACAGCACTTGTGTGGCAGTTGAATTTAATAGCTCTCAAGACATTGGCTTTTTTTTTTTTTTCTCATGAAATTATGCTTTGTATACAGTTGACTGTGCAGGTTTTTTCCTCTTACTCCATGGAGTTGGGTCTGTGTTTCAAAGGTATGAAAATCTGACTAAAGCGAGTAATACAAAGTTAATAATCTGTTTTGTTATTTTTCTGTATGGGTTGTAATAAAATATTGCAGTACTTTGTATGAAAACAGACAATAGTTAATTGTAACTATTTATAAATTAAATTATTGTACTTTTTGCAATCTGTAGATAAGTACTATGTATTCATATATACAGTAACAACTGTGGATTTAAACGTGATTCTCTGAGGTGTCTAAGTTATTGATGTATATATTGTATGTTTGTTGATACAGCTTACTTTATTTTCTATAAGACCAATAAAAATGTTTTGAAAAAGGATTTTAAGCACTACTTCTTTGTCTTTGGAGGCGTTTTAAACACTGTTGAAATTGGGTTTTGTCATATTCTGTGGCGTCATTGACCCAGTTTGATACTTGTAAAAATAAACTGGCGGGGAAGGCTTTTTTGCCGTCCAGGGTGGGTTTTAGAAGACAGCGATCATTTAGATGGCACGATTTCTTTTTCTGTGATCCAAAAAAAGCCGTTGGGCGACCCACTTTGGCTAACCTCAGTGGACATATTTTTGGCCCGACACGAGTAAAACATTAGAGTCATGAAGGATGTCTAGGTGTGCTTGTCCTAGATTAGGAGGAGTAGTGAGTTAGTCATCTGTGCTCCCTATGGGCCTCCTAAACCCCCCCGACCCCTCTCTCTGTCTCAGCGCACCTCATCAAACATCACCCCTCCTCAGCAAGCGTTTCAACCCCAGCACATTCAAAACACATCTCATGAGAGAACATGCAGAGACAAAGAGACAGATGGCTGAAGACAGGCTGCATCTTACCACTCCATCCTGCAGGGCAAGTCTAAACCCCAGTGCCTCTGCACTGCCACACTGTGGTATTGTTCTTCCCTTTAAATGGAGGAGGCTCCTACAGGTCTGTGTGACCTGTGCCTTAAAACAGGCTCCTCTTCCTCCTCGGATGCCTGCCCCAGACAAAACCGGATGGCCTCTGAAGAGTTGATTAATTTGGCGGGTTGGGTTTAAGGTGAGCTGGTGGGCAATCTAGGACAGCATTCTTCATCTTCACCCACTTCTGCAGCAGGTGCCTGCCCCAGTTCTCCGACCACAGCCCCGCTGTACAATTAATGTTGCCATCCCCATCAGCAAAGGCCGTTCATTTAGCACGTCTTACACTGCCAAAAGCTTGGCATGGGGCTCCTCTGCTGCAAAATGTCATCACGGCAGAGGACATGCGTGTTTGTGGGAGATACTACACTGGGCGAGAGGTGTGTGTTTTCCTCTTGCACATCAGCAGTTATTTGAATAACTCGCAGCTGCTTTGATGGTGCATATGAGGGACCAACACCAACTCCTATCCTCATATCAAACACCATGATTTGTCAAACAGTCAGTGCTTTTCCAGCAATAAGACAAAAAGCCAGTGTGCATTCCTGCCAGATAAAAGACTCCAGACTACTGGAGAGGCAAGACTACAGACACAAGGCTATTAAATAGATCACAGTTTAGCGTTATGTGGGTCTGGGTTTCCCTCTGCTGGCACTTGTGTGTAAAGACTTTGTGTGATTTAACAGGGTTTTTCCACAAGATGACGCCACAGTCTCCTAATAGCAGGATTTCCCTTACACTACACATATTTACTGTATCAAACAGAGAAAGGCATTCATTTCACCCCACTTGTTGAAGTCTGAAATATTCCCCCTAAAAAACTATTCCTGTGATCTGTTCTAACAAGATGGAAGTCCCATATTGTTCTTATGGGTGGGCAAATTGTGACTTTCTGTTTAAATCTTATACCAGTGGTGGAAGAAGTATTCAGATTCAGAAAGTACCAAAAATAAAAGTACTAATTTTGCAGGATAACCAGATTTAGAATATTAGTATATTTTCATCATAGAAGGTGGTAAAGAGCTATTTCATTTTTTTATAGTGCTAGGTAGTTTAAGCTATAATGATAAATCATAATCTATTATTTGATTTATATTTTGTATTAATAATCCAAATCTGCAAAGTAACTAAAGCTAAATTAAATGTAGGGAAGTAAAAAAAATATACAATATAATATTTCCCTCCAAAAAGTACAAAGTGGCATCAAATGAGGATACTCAATAAGTGCAGTACCACTAAATCAAAATTGTACTATGTAAATATACGTAGTTACATTCCATCACTGCCTTATACAGCAACACAGTACAATTTAATGCAAACTAAGAACAACAATGCAGTAAATCTCTGTGAGTTCAGATTGTTGACAGTGTGTGAGAGGAAATGACACACATTTTAATTACAGCCAATACAGCACACCACAAAATGAACTGTGTGTGTACTGAACACAGTGCACTCTGACTGAAGTGTCCACAAAGACTGAACAGTGCAATCTTTACTAAGATAAGAGTTTATTGCAGGGCATATTTATTGCTTAAGTTTCTAAGATTAGGTTGTTTTTTTTCCTCTTCTTGGTTGTGATCTCGGAAGTCACCACAAATTAAAATCATATTAGTTTGTTTGATATATTTTGAGTTATGGTGAATGAGTAGGTGGCGCAGGTGCTTCTGTGTGTTCATAAATATGTTACACTATAGTTATTTTTTGTTTTATCTTATTTTATCTTCATTGTTTCATCGTGATATTATTATTGGTACTTTCCCCAGAAGGATAAAATAAAAAAAATAATACAAAATATTTCTAAAATAGGATCTACACCCCTTTATTTTGTCTTTATCACGGTTTTTATCTCAAAGGGATAACTTCCAGCGAAATGTAAACTGGCATGTCATCAAAGGCAGCTTTGGCTGATAGCCTGCTATTTCTGTGGGAAAACAGATATTGTCACATGACAGTGGCAAGCGCCGCTATTATGTAACAACACGTCGGCTGCGTGCACCGGCACCTTCATCGTACGATTCAACCTGAGTCAAGTCCGCCGTAGCAGACACACACCTCCACGCTGGGACCTTTCAAAATAAAACCAGTGTCTACCAAGACGCCATACGCGGAGTTTAACCACCAGCGCGCCCTTCCACCGCCGTGCGTCTGCTTTCTTTGGCCGACTTGACGTAGCGGGCGTCGTGCGTCGCTGCGTCGCTGCGTCGCCGGCAGAGGAGGAGGCGTTGGCGCATCGCGCTACTGCTGCCGCTGCTGACACATAAACCGGCTGTCCTGCACTTGAAGAGGGGGCACACAATTAACCGACACGGTCCGTTCACCATCTCATCTGGAGTGAGACGCTCTGTAGTAGCTGTGCTTGCACTTTTTTTTTCTTTTTTTCCCCCAGGCATTAACTCTAGCGGCTTTATAAAAAAAATGATCAAGAACGGACATCACCACCACCAAGTGAGCACGGCGGCCGGGAAAGACGCAGGGACGACCCCCGGTGCTGCAGCCTGCAGTCCCGAGAAGAGGAGGAGAAGAATCCGGGTGTGGTGCGATGGCTGGTGAGTGAGTACCGGTTGATTGGTCGTGTGATGAAGATTGCTACGTTTGTTCCTCATCGTTTGCATCGAGCTCGTTTGAATGGATGTGTCAGCCTGTCACCTACTGTGCCTACCGCCGGGACAGGCCCGCTGCAGGTTGCAGAGCTGCCACAGGACCGCTGCTTTAATCCTCCAGAGATGTACATACAACTTTTAATTGGATATCTTGTATGTATTCGACCACCAGAGTTTTAATGGTCAGACATGTAGCCACTGTGATTAAAGACTGGATTGTTGCATTACTTTACATTAGCAGTGAGGCATCCTATCTGGATTTTCCATCTCAGCAGACACACTATTACATAATAAAATCAGAATAGATTTACATTGATCTTTGTTGCTGCAATTCATAATGACTCACTGTCATGTAGAAGCGACCTCCTAACTTTGAGCAGCCCTAATAGTAATGCTTATACTGGCAATGACACATCACTGTAAATGCTTTGGACCAAAGTGTCTGTCAAATATATCTATTGTAATGTATTGTAAGTACATGCTTCACTTAATGCAGAGCTTTACTAAAGTTAGAGGCAACACAATGCAGTATCATATGCCATTTAGTATTTGTTTTTACAAAACAAACAACAAACCTATTAAAATATAGAAGATACCATTATCAAGTGAGGCAATAGATGTATGAATTTATGTGTAAAGTCTGCCATAAGTCAATGGATGTGGCCAATAAATGTTGAGTATTGTTGAGTATTTCATACTTTAAACTTTGTCATTAGTATTTTGTTTTAATTAATTGTTTAGTGTTTTTTTCATTCAATGAATGAAAATCCAAAATGTCCTCATACTTGACTAATTATCTGGTTTAAAACTGTAGCTGGAGGATGGAATAAACCAAAAGCAATAGCAATCGTGTAATCCATAGGACTACACCTTGACGCACAGCCAAGATGGTCACACTGCCATGGAGATGATGTTTAAATGTATACTGATCTTCATGAGGAACAAACAGATTAGGAAAAAAACAGTTAAAAAAAGATGAATACTATCAAACATTATGAAATCGTTCCACACTATAGTCACTAATGGGTGTAAAATATGTGTTTTAATTACATTTTTATGAAAGAAATATATGAGCTTCTTTCAAAACAATAACTGTGCAACCTCTTACACTGTACTATAACCTGTAACAGGAAATTCAGCCACCACCAAGATGTTCAGTAGGCATGCAGCACATGCATGCATGATTCTTAAAGGAGGCAGAGGAAGGAGAAAGATCCTTGTTCTCATTCAAACCATTACAATTGCACATAATGCACCTCAGGCCACTTGGTAACCAGGCCCTTCTGTATATGTTTAGTTTGACTTTTCTTGGGATTACTTTCATGATGCCATAATGACACCTCTACAAACAAGGTGTCTCCTTTCGACGTGATGTAATGGAATACAGAACAACTATATTAGAGCAGGACGAGGTGATCATGCTGCGCCAGGCGTGGCCTTTAATGACGGACAGGTGATGGATTAATGTGAACACACAGCTGTGGAAAGGGCTAGGCTAACCACGGGGAATTAGCACTTGTGTTTGCAGCAATTGGCAAAACATGTTTACTCGTTAATAATGAGAGCCGTGACAGCCAAACTTAATTGTTTGCCACTCTTCATGTGACAGGCAAGCCTAATGACCCTGAGCACATTGAACAGGTTTCATGGAGTTTAGATTCAATTTAAGGTGTGAACATGTTCCACAGTGTCATCGTAGATACACGTATGGTGCTCAGTGTGCTAATATTTCAGTCACCTCACCTTGGCACTTTCAAGAGTCCATAGGAAAGTTGGGCTCGCCTCTGGAGGATCATATACAAAATATTGCTTTGCTGCTGCCTACTAGATTTACAAGAAAAACTGTTGAATTCAAGCTAACAATCACAAAGTGACGTTTGTCACTATGCACACAGTATTATTCCCTTTGGACATACTGGTATCGAGCCATGCAGAAAGCTTTGGGTACCCCAAAACAATGGATGCAGATGGAATTTTATGGTATTTATACAAGGCATTTGAAAAACTCAGTTACAACCTGTCTCTCCAGAAGACTGTCTCTCGTCCATTAGGACGTTTTATCAACTGAAGGAAAAAATTAATGGAAACACAGCGAGTGTCAGTGAGGTCTTTCACTTATCAAAAGTAAACGGGACATTGCTGAAAACCATTTTTTTTTTCACCCGTATTGTTTTGAGTTGGCAGAAGAACTTTCTGCAGTAGATATCTCAAAAAAATTTGATAATCGTTTGAGAAATGCCAAATATTTACTACACTCTCAAATGTGATTATTTGCTGCTTTTCGTTGATAGCAAAGCAATATTTTAGTTTAGTTCTATTAGTTGCAGGCCTAGAACTGCCCCCTTAATAAGATGCCTTTTATTGGAGAAACACCAAGCCTTGGTGGACAGAGTCTGGCTCCACGGTGCAGCGGCACCATAAATGTTTTGAATTTCTGTGTTTGAAGGCCAGGATTATGGTGGCTTTCTCTAGTAGATTTCCTGCCATTTAGGTGTGGCTGCCTATCCGTGGTTTGAAGGAATGTTGGAGAATATTTGGGATGCCAGAATATTAACCGGTGGGGTGAGCATGCAAAGAGAGCCAATGTCAACAGAGCTCATGTCATTAACCCCTCTGACCCCTCCAACCCACACCTGCTACGGCCGCTGGAGCTCGTGCAGCAGTGTCCCGTCACTGAGCACATTGTTTCCCTCCGAAGCCCTACTGGACGCCGCCATGCTCTTACAGACATCCAGCAGTGTCAGCAGTGTGAGAGGAAAATTCCAAGGAAAGAGCACAGTCATTTTATCTGTTGAGACATCTCTGACCAAGCCCCTTTCTCTCTGCACGTCAAGACTTATTTGTCGCCCGGAAAAGAGGTGACAGGGGTTAAAGATCAGTTGTCAGAGAAGCATCATCAAGGAGTGTAAAGTCCACTTCCACTCTGTTTCTGCTGAGATTGTCTAACCATGCAAGACTATAAACATGCTACTTAAAGCCTCTCTGAAGTAACAGTTTCTTGCCCATTCATTATCTGAGAAATTGGTCGTGTTCAATGAATAAAAAAATCTATATGTCCTCATTTGGATAGACCCAATCGAACAGTGTCATTGAATTCAATTGAAACTTAACTAAAGTTCCTAAACGTGTCCCAACATATTCTGCCACTGTGTACACAAATTTCTGTCTGGTTTTTCTCTTAAAGGAGCTTAGGTGCTGTTTGGGTGTCCGCTAACAGGCCACACTAATTAATATTTCATCATCCCACTGTGATACCGTCGCAACCCATCCCTGCTAAAAAATACAACAGGAATACGGTAACACACGTCATCTGCATATTACTAGTATAACACCCACAAAAGCAGCCTCCCGCCCGGTCTTATGTAACTCTGTCTGGGTCTCAGAGTTTTCTTCTCTATTCATTCACCTCCAAATGCTCTCCCTCCTTTACTACATTCTCCTGGCCCTGCGCTATCGCCTCAGAGCCTGCACATGTGGATCCCATTTCCACAGATTGGCAGCACAAGGCACTCGCTCAGAAAAATCTCTCGGTTTCTGATGAGCTTCCTCGACAACGTGAGCCTCTGTTTGCGGTCCACCTATAACTGAACCACATAGACGAGGCCCTACAGTCTAGTAACAGTTGTTTTTAGTGCAGTCCAGGCTGTGTATTGACACAAGGCGCAGAATCTGTTTTTCATTAGCATAGCCTGGGGGCTGAAAACAACATGGGATACTGTTACTGTTGTGGCTGTGTGCATACTGTAGTTCTGGCAGTGCTCATCTGTTTTCTTATTGATTTTTGAGGATGCTATTCATAGTTCTGTTTTACCTGACCCCTGAGAGTGCTTATATGTAATATAATTTACTGAGGAGGACACAATTTTGCCAATTCTAATGTTTGTTTTTTTCCACTATAACCATCATTATGTTGCCATTATTGTGATACTCCTAAGTTAATTGCTGACACAGGATTGCTGATAGTTGTAGTAGCTACTGTCACTGCATGAATATGAGCAGTTACTCCCATTAAACTCACCATCAATGATACCTGCAGTCACTTTCATCAGTCAGAGCATTTTTCTTTTTTTCTGTTCAAAGTAGACGTCAATATCAAGTTAAAAGTGGAGCAGAAAGACAAATTATCAGGCTGATGTCAGCTGTTGGCAGTGCTAATAGTGATTGAAGGCTAATGCCCATCTGTTCTCTATTACTATGCTAGATTACCATGTTACAATCTCAGTCTCCAATCAGTGCTAATCTAATTATCTACAGATGGTATCATAGCCTGGGAGGAGTGAAGTGGGAGGGGAAAACACACTGTGCCGTTGACTTTTTTATGTTGAGACTTTGATCAGATATCTAGCAGATCACATGGATTACATAAGTGGGTCGAAAATATCAGAATCACTCTAAATATGAAAGGATCACACTGGTAGTTTTAAATGTTTAGTAGTTTAGACCACAAATTAAAAAAAAATCTATTCTCCTACGTTACAGGCAGTCATTGATTTTCATTTATTTCACAGTTAGAATCAACTTAACTGTTTTAAACACCTCGTTGGTGTGTTCAAGAACACTGAGTGTTAAAAATAAGCTGCCATTTCTAACCCTCATAAAAACACGTCAAACAACTCTAATCCATGTTTTAATCACCAGCATGGTGTACTAGAGATGTGCGCGGTGTGTTTTACTTTAGTTAGTTCAAGATATGACCAGATTCACAAGATACTTTATCTTTGTGTGAGTTTTACTACAGCTACTGTACCTCACTACGATAATGTAACTTTTGTGAACATTTGTTCCTCTTATCTTTTTTTCCTCCCAGCTATGACATGGTCCATTACGGTCACTCCAACCAGCTGCGACAGGCCAAGGCCATGGGAGATTACCTCATCGTTGGAGTACACACAGACAGTAAGTACTGTCATAGCACAAACATTTCCCCTACCACACAGTGCATAATTAGTGGGAACCCTCTCTTGGCTGCTTTACCAGGAATATTTAAGGTTTAGCTCGTCACTTTTTTCATCCCCTCCTTCCTTTTACCGGGCACGCTTCGGCCTGGACCTGCTGGGTCATGTCACCTGTTTGTTTTCCTCAGTCCCATCATTACCAACCAGGCACCAGCTGTGGCTTATACACTTTGGAGGAGTTGTTGTGACAGTAGTGCAGCGTCTCAGCGATTGTGCCTCACCCTTGTTTGGCACACTGGAGCATTCTGACATTACGATAACCAAGAATGACTTCATAGTTAGGGCCAGCACAGATATCCGCAACCTTTCCCACTGCTGAAGTGATGATAAAATAGCTCAATGACGAAGACGATGCTCCGTTCAGTCGCTGTAAAGCTGCTTATCAGATGCAAATGGAGATGTCTGTCCCTCTTTCTCTCTCTCTGTGTTCTTTTAATCTCAGTTTACATTATGTATCTGTGTCTGCGGTATCGCTCGACTGTACGTGTTTTGTTTTCAAGGTGAGATTGCAAAGCACAAGGGTCCGCCAGTCTTCACTCAGCAAGAAAGATACAAGATGGTGCGGGCCATAAAATGGGTGGATGAGGTCGTGGAAGGAGCACCTTACGTCACCACCCTCGGGACCCTCGACAAGTACAACTGTGACTTCTGTGTGCACGGAGGTACGGTATATGAATACCCTGTGTCCTTATTTAGACACACTAATAGATTAATAGTCATGAACAGTGCTGATCGGGTCCATGTACTATGCTAGATCCCTGATTTTGGATATGTTATTACTTGATATAAGCAGTATGTCGTGTGTCCTGTTGTTCCAGATGATATAACACTAACAGTGGATGGGAAAGACACATATGAAGAGGTGAAGAAGTCAGGACGGTACAGGTGAGTTTCCTTTTTAAATATGCAGCAGATAATAATAACACAATTTGGATTGTTGTTAAGTTTTGTGTATTATGCTGTTACAGGGAGTGTAAGAGAACCCAGGGGGTTTCAACCACAGATCTGGTTGGCAGGATGCTACTGATGACCAAAGCACACCACAGCAACATTGTGAGTACATCCTTATTCTCTCTAAATTCCTCAGTACACAGCTCAGGCCCTAATCCAATCCTCTCTTTTCTCTTTAGGATAGTTCAGACTATCAGCAGCACACGGACAACTTTGGAAAGGTAGGTACCAAACTTATTTCCAGCTTGTTTTAATGCTTTGATCCCGCCTGCCAAGCTCTTAATTGTTTAAAACCAAATGCAGCTTCCTCTTCCTTGACTGTTTTGTCATTCAAGTAGTCAAAGTTGAAATGTGGGCCAGATGTCAACCATTATTAGACAAAAGTCTTTACTGTGGACCTACTTTATAATCAAGTTGCAGGCCTTGCCAGTAAACAGTGAATGCTACTTCTGTTCCTGGATGGAGAAAGTAACTCAGAGTTAAAATGCTGGGGTTTTAAATAGTGTGAAAGCAGTAGAGGGTCTCAGTTAAGACTGGAAGACTAATGCTGTGAATTTGGCGAGGGTTGAATACATGTGCTGAGGCTTTGTGGGACAGCTTTCAGTTAGCTATTGACCAAATATTGCACCACTAGTCACACCACTAGGTGGCGATGCTGCAGCATTCTGGTCCAGTGATGATAACTGTATCTGTACTGAAGTGCATCTGTCTCATTGCTACACTGTCACTTTGTACTCATTGTGTCTGTTTCTGGATTATGGGGGTCACATGGTCAGAAGGGCCACAGTCCCTGGACGGGGGTGTCTCAGTTCCTGCAGACTTCGCAGAAGATCATCCAGTTTGCTTCAGGCCAGGAGCCTCAACCCGGAGACACTATCATCTACGTGGCAGGAGCCTTTGACCTCTTCCGTATCTTTTTATAACCTCAATGAAATTGTTTTACTTTTCACTCAAAAAGTAGGTCTAGTTTAGTGGACTGTGAAGTTTCTGTAGTCAGCTTTTCTGAATTGCTCTGTCACCCTTGACTAGTCTCCTATCAGACATTGGTCATGTGGACTTCCTGGAAGCAGTGCATAAGCTTGCAGAACAGCCATACATTATAGTGGGGTTGCACTTTGATCAGGTGAGTCGGCCTTGTTTTTTGTTTTTTTGCATCTGTGTGAGACATTTTTTACCTCACTGAGTCGAGCGTTGGCGTTTCACTGTACGTTTCAAATGTTTTCATGTTTTTCAGGAGGTGAATCGCTACAAAGGGAAAAACTACCCCATCATGAATGTCCATGAGAGAACGCTGAGCGTCCTGGCTTGTCGAGTAGGTTCTTCTTCATGCTCTTTCCCCATCAATGCTGTGCACTGCGTGTATACTTTATTCATTGTGTGATTGATTTCTGACTTTTATTTCACAGTATGTGTCAGAAGTGGTGATTGGTGCACCCTTTGCAGTCACAAAAGATTTGCTGGACCATTTCAAGGTAAGTACAGGCAGTGCTGTTATCTCTCACCACAAGATAATAATGTCCTCTGCAATTAAAAACGAATAAAATAGCACATCTCTCCATCCACAGGTGGATCTTGTATGCCATGGAAAGACAGAAATATATCCTGACAAGGATGGGTCCGACCCTTATGCTGTAAGACTCTAAACACCTTACGCCTCCATGAAATACTGTAATCTGCAGGGATGATGAATCACATTCATTTGGCGATGTTTTATTCATGTCCAGGAGCCTCGGAGGAAAGGAATCCTGCGTACCGTTGACAGTGGGAACAGCCTTACTACAGATGCCATTGTGCAGAGAATAATCAAAAACAGGTGAAAAAAAATATAAGCTCTTGTCAACTCCAAGAAAAATACACAAAGGCTTGGGGGGAGAAATAGTCATTTATATTATATCCACTGGGCAAAATAGTATTTTTCTAAGGTAAAGTAAGGGGGACATAGTTTGATTACTGCTGTAATATATTAAATTGGTCTTAGGGTTTACTATATACTTATTCCAATTTCCTCAGGTTGCTATTTGAAGCAAGGAACCAGAAGAAAGAGGCCAAAGAGATTGCTGTGATCCAGGCCTTGAAGCGACAAGAGGAGGAAAAGACTAAAGAAAGAGCCCAGGCTGTGCCGTAGAAAGGCCCCAATCAAGCACCATCAACCAAGCGAACACTGACAAGCTCAATTAATCTAAACTCATGTACAGTAGAAGAATCAACCTTTTTATACGTGTTATGACACCCTCCACACACGATCCTGGCTAATAACAGCAGTCTTTAGAGCAGCCTGTTTATAGCCAGGGCGGCAACGTCTGCTGTGGGATCATCAGGTATACAGTGTGTGTGTGTCTTCTGTGTATTAATATATTCTGCATATGCAACTACATGTTCATGTCAGTCAACAATCACACGTACAGAAAATAGAAAAAAAGTTGGAGCAAGGAAGTCTTCAAATGTGTATTTTATGTCTTCAGATATTTTTAATTCCTCAAGTACGTTTGCCTTCAAAAACAAAATAAATTACTTTTTAAGTATTATATCATGGGATTTGGACATATGAAGGGCAAGTCTAGGCGATCTGAGATGTTATTCAGGCATTAAATGGCAACAAAGAAGTGATTTGATTAGTAATTTATGTGAGGTTGTTGCTGCTTTCTGCCCAGCAATAGGCACAGCCCCACAACCAGTCTATCTTTGTATATACTGTATGTTCTGTATGTATGTATTATAAAGTGATTACAGTCTCTCTAGAGGATGCTTAAACCACTAGAGAATCAGGGGAGAAAAGTTCCCCTGCTTCTCTGCGTCTACCTTGTTCGGACGTGAGAAGGTGTTGATGGACTCTCTCGGGACCTCATGTACATATCAGACCTTGCTTCGATCAGATTGCACAGAAATCATCAGAACTGTTCTGTTTCATTGGTAGAGCAGGTTTTTAACTCAAAAATGCACACTGTTGAGACCTGCACGCCTGGCCTTTTGAGTGCAATTTTTTTTAAAGCAACACTCCTTAGATTTATCCTAACATAGATAACACTACAGAGAGTTTTAACAGGCTGCTTTTAACCTTTACTTTTGTTAATATATCTAGAGAACTATGACAGATGCTCAGTGTTGTTGACTTGATCATGAAATAGACCTCTTACTCATGAAATAGACCTCTTACTGTCATTAAGCCCTGAACAATTTAACCTCTGTCTCTATATCAAATGGGATTAAATAATATATTTTTTGTAGATGTATATTTTACTCACCTCCTCTCCATTAACTACTGTATAGATGATTTCATATTGTTTAAAAGGATAAAATATGTCTGTATGTGAAGTTGGAATGTATTTAGTGTAGGTTAATCCATGTTATTGACAACTCCCAGTTGACAAATACTGTAGAAAAACTGATTGGACTACAGTATAATACTGCTGATAATTATAACATTTTAATCTGAAAGGCTATTTGTCATCTTATTTTCACTAAAAGAGAAAAGGCATGGGCGTAGAAGGATTGTGATGCCTGATTTATTTCTTTAGTGATTGGTGTAAATTAGCAGGCTGCACATGAGTCACATTATGAAAGGTTATTTTAAGGTTAACGTCATGTTTTGGACCTTTGATTAGGAAGAAATATCTGAATTTTGCAACATATGAATGAGTCACACAGAGAGTTCGTTAAATGTCAGGCCATTAAGAATAGATTATTTCAGCAGCAGTACCCACCCTAAACTGGAAGCAAGCTGACTCTTACAGTAAATCTCTAAGTGGCACAGAACCTTAGGCTCATGTTGGAAAGTAAAGTTAATTCATTATGAAGTACTGAGATTTGAAAGAAAAAAAAAAAAAAACGAATTAAAAGTAGCAATACCACACTATAAAAAGTTTGAAATCGAAAAGTAACATCTTAATTAAGTAAAAGTACTAGCATCAAAACATGCTTAAAGTACCAAAAGCACTGATAATGTAAAATAATGTAGCCTATATTATATTACTGGATTATAATTATTGATGCATTAATATACATCACTTTAATGTTGCAGCTGGCAAAGGTGGAGCTAATTCCAGCTACTTTATATAGGCTACTGGGTAGTTTAATCTATTACAACAGACATCATGATATCTCAGTTTATTGAATGTTTTGTATTAATAAATTAAATTCATTCATTCATTCATTCCACCACTTTTCAGCATTTCCGTCATTTGACGTCACATGATGTCAGCACACGCGCGCCCCTCGAGCAGACTGGCTTGGAAGCAGCACACGTGCCCCTAATTACGCAAATTGGCTCTTCCGTTATTTGCTAACGCTGTTCGTTAGGGCCGTGAATCCAACGAGACCGACGCGCAGAGCAAAGGCAGAGATGTTTTGCTGTCTTAATGTACTGTCAGGCCCACTGCAGGTAGTAGTTTCAAGATAATTTAAAAATGGCGATGTTCTGTTGCGTCTTCTAACATCATAAAGTGAGCTGTGCGCCCTCATTTGAAGTTTTAGTCAATCAACAGTCGCCTCCAAATGTGTAAGATTTCGTTGTCATTCGGTGTGAACTGTTGCGTACAGAATATATTCAGTCAGTTCAAGACAAAGAAAAAAAACAGCCACACATTATCAGGAGTTGTGACTGTTTACAAGTTAATTTTATGTGCATTTGTCACCAAAGTAATAACCATTATGTGAGATGAATACACCACTGGGTTCTTTTAAGCTATTTCACATTATAACAAACCAGATATTAAAATCACTGTCGCAGGCTAGATCTAAATTCCACTTCTATGATATATTTGACTGCTGAAGATTTTTCCTCTTAGGAAAATGTGCTTAATGTTAAAGACGAATGTCGTAAAAACGCATCCCAGATCTGTTTTGCAGTCCAAGAGCTTCCAGCTGGCATGTGAAAACTGAATTCCTCCTTAGATCTGCATGGGAATGTGCCTCCACCAGGATATTACAGAAGAGGGTAAAAAGGCGAAACTCCAGAGCTGTAAAATAGAGCAAGACCTTTGTGAACATGCCAGGACTGAGATGAATGTGGTGAAAATCCTCATGCTTGGTAAGTTTACACTACTTTGTTTTATCAGGCTTCACTGAAGTGTTGAATTTGACAATTAAAAGAGAAAATATTTCTCTTTTTGTTTTGTGTGTCAGGAGCGGCAGAGAGTGGAAAGACCACTCTGATCAAACAGATTAAGATAATCCACAGTCACGGTTTCTCCAAACAAGAGCTCATCAGTTTCAAGGTATTGGACAGCTGTAAAGCAGATGAAATATTAAAGTTATCTGAGACAAAAACAAGTCTGAGCATCGGTTAAATGACAAAATGTTGACTGCGGTTCCCCCCCACAGCCTGCAGTACTAGACAACCTGCTGACCTCCATGAAGTTTGTGCTTCGAGGAATGGGGATGCTGAGGATTAACCTCGCTAACAAGAAGAACAAGGTGACGAGAGATGATGCAGCTTCCTGTGAAGGTTTTAGAAAGTGAAGTTTTGTCATTGCAGTCCCTCTATATCACGCTAGATGTCAGTCTTCATCCGCAGTAGATAGGATTCATGGAGTTGAGCGCAGTGGTGGAATGTACAATATTTGAGTCTTTTCTTTTCATGCCACTTTCTACCACTCCTGTAAAACTAAATATTGTACTTTTTACTTCACTACATTTATCTGACTGTTACTTTAAGCATTAAGATTTTAAATACAACACATACAAAGAGTTTATAAAATATAAGGCTTTGTTTCAAATTAAACTAGCCTGAAGTACAAGAGCAAATGGAATGATTAATCAATTAGTTGATTGACAGGAAATTAATTGGCATCTATTTTGATCATTGTTTAAAAGTCATTTTTCATGCCGAAACATTTGCTAGTTCCAACTCCAGAAATGTGAAGATTTGTTGCTTTTTTCCAAACTTTTACAAACCAAACAATTAATGAATGCAGAAAATAATCAGCAGATCCATGTGTGTTATCCAATCCATATAATTAAAATAATTATTAGTTGCTTCTATATAAGTAATTTTACTTTTAAGTACATTTTTCAGATTATATGTAATAATACTTTTACTTAAGTAATGTTTTCAATGTCGGACTTTTACTTTAAAGTGTTTTTAAAGTTCGCCATCAGTACTTTTACTTGAATGAAAGATTTCAATACTTCGTCCACCACTGGATTGGTGACCATAATATTTCCTGTTGCAAGGCACAACGTATTAAACCGTTTGTACCTTCAGCCGCCACAATCTGCAGTGCATTACATGATGAGAAAACCTCATATTTACTCTCATTTACTTCAAATATAAATATATCTAATATTTTGTCCCATTTACTGTAGATGCACGCCCGCTCCATCTTGTCCTGCAGTCAGTGTTTGGCGGACGACCAGGAGCTGCTTCCTTTTGTGGCTCATGCTTTCTGCGCACTGTGGGCTGACCAAGGGGTGCGAGAAGCTGCCGCCAGAGGTTACGAGTTTGAGCTGAATGACTCTGCACTCTAGTGAGTAGAGTGACCTTAAATGATCTATGTTGCACAACGCTGCCCAATTATGACTGACGGTGGAAATGTCAGGGGAAATTGCCCAGTAAGCAGCGTGTCATCACATATTATCAATACAGAGCAACCGTAAAGCAAGTGCTGAGAATAACTCATCTTCAGGAAATGATTCCTGTGACATTTGTGGATTGGGAGGCTTAATTGGGACCAAATTAAAAGGCAATGTTTGCAGATATCCAGGAAGGAGGGAATTAGGGTGGAGCACATAAAACAGACATGATTAAAGACCCAGTTTTCTTCTTTAATGAGTAAGAAATGAAACAGCATTACATGTGTGAAGCTGTATTGCATTTGCTTTTAACTTAAAGCTTTTGATTTAACTGTAGTTTACTACTATACCTCACTGCAAATGATCTCCATGTATCATGAAACACCAATTATTGAAATACAACCTCCATTTTATATTTATCTGGGCAGAACTGGTTGTCCTTCAGCAATTGTGCCCTTTCAGTTGTTCATCAAAAAGAAAAAAAAGGTACTCTGCATAGATCATTTGCTGAGTGTGTGTTGCATCATCAGGTGAAGTGTGGATCATTAGCTGAAGTGTGGAATACATTGTGATAAATGCCGTTATTGTTTTGCACTCTGTTTCATGCCGACTATGAGGGGAAGTGCATTTCTGTTTTTTTTCATCACAACACCAATATGTTACCCCCTTTTTGAATTTTAAACACTTTTCTATCCAAGTGAAATATGTGTGTGTGAGTGTAGAGGGGGTTTATAATGCAGCACAATCAACAAGAATGCGTGCAGTAAGATGTGTGGCTCTCAGTCTTAATCAAATAGAAAGCTCAATGCATGGTCCATGGGGTTTTTCTTTCTTTTTCTTCTGGGAGATGTAGGGAAATACAAGATGGATATCGGCATGTTAAGATAGCACAGAGTAACACTATATATCAGTGAAGACATTGCACTGACAGAGAATGCCGGCAGCAGCTGTGTCCTGTACCTCTCTGTGAAAATGGCGAGAATGAACTACTCGTGTTGCTCATATTAAAATGCCTTTTTTGTATTTGTGTTTTAGCCGTAGCTTGCATTTTGGGGCGCATCACTTAGTAACAACAGTGCAAAATACTGTATGGTGACCAGTACTGGCAGTAGCTTATAGTTTTTAAAATGGTGGTGAAGTTGGAATTTGATTTGAGTAAGTTTTATCATTAAGTAAACTTCAAATAAATGTACTGAGTAGAAGTCCTTATCTCTGAGGCAACAGGGAGGAGACCTGCCAAGTTAAAACTTACACAAGCTGGCCAGGCTGACAAAAATGAAGAAGTGACAGCTTCATTATCGGAACTCAATAAGGTTGGAGCTGTAGCATGATATAAAAACTCAACTTGCTCTCTTTCAGTCTTCTCACTCTGCTGGACATCATATTGATTTCTCCCTCCAGAAATATTGGATTAGACTTGAGTCGTGACACACTTGACTTCCCCTGAACCCGAAGGCACCTCAACGTGTAAAATGACTTCTCGGACATGAGCTTTGACATGAACTGAACTGTTAATGTTTCTAAAAAGAAATTTGCGGGTACAGGAAGTTAACTATCGATGTGACCTCCGTGTTTTTAGAAATCGATTCTAATAACTAACGCAAGCTTTATTAGTGCTGAGACATGGAAACATTTAAAATGACACTGGGCAGGTAGAATTGCATGAAAATGCGATGAAATGATGATGTTTTGTGTTTTTAAAAAGATTGTTAAAGTATGTTTGAGAAAATATATTTATATTGGAGCCGATGTAAGGCAGCACATTTACTTAGCATGTGTGCACACAATATGTAACTTTGTTCAGAGCCAAGGCTTCATGAATATAGCTCATTACAAATTAAACAGCTGGGTTTAACATTTTGACCCATATATTGATGGTATGAAGCATTGTTTAAAAAGTTGTGTATTCTGCAGCAACATGACCCCTACAGCCCAGGAAACGGCACGTATTGGTGCTTTTGATGGCAGATGTGAGTGTACTAGGTCAAATTTAAAAGAGCACACCGCCAAGTTAGCATTGCTCTCCTATAACGCTGTCAGACTCATGATGGACACTTTAAAACATTTCTTTAAATCCTGCAGCAGAACCAGAGATCATCTTTTTTTACTCCACACTTTCTTCTTCCATGTCAAAGCCTGGCATCTACAATACAGCTTGACATCCTGTTATGACCTGCTAATAGGGGCCAGCATAGCATTAGCCTCAAGCAGATACGAGGAGTGGGCTATAGACGTCTCTAAGCTCACTTCCCTCTAACCCCCCCCCCCCCAGATTCTTTACATTTTCTAACTTGAAGTTTTCACCCCCAACTGGCACTGACTCAAGGTTTCGCTCAGCTCCCTCTACAATTGGTTTTATACAACTAAGATTACATATTACAAACAACTCTGTATAACACTATATAATATAATATAATATAATATAATTAAACTGCACCACCTCCAGAATCACTAAACACACTGAGTTTCACCAGGAAATTGGCATTATACCCCTCGTGGAGGTAGGACTTGTTGTGAGGCTGTTGTATTAGAACGGATTAGTTGGAGCGTGTATCAAATAAACTAAACTTGGTTTAAATTTCATTAAACTAAGTTGTAAAACCTAAAAGTGCATGTCACTGCTTCCATTTACAAAGCCCAAATGTTGTCTGCCTTGGTTAAGAACTAAAACTGACAAGCAAAACAAACTGTATGTATACCTGCACACAACTGACTTTTTAAAAACGTTCTCATCAGTTAGTGATGTTTGTTTTTCTCTTCCTATTCCCCTCCCAGTTTCTTTGAGAACATGAATCGAATCATCGCTCCCAAATACGTTCCCACCGAGACCGACGTTCTGAGAGTGAGAGTGAGGACTTGTGGAATCGTTGAGACGCAGTTTCAACTTAATGAAATGATCTTTCGGTAAGATTTATTAATCTGGCAGAGCAAATTCAGCTGTGGTTGCAACATGATACAGCACTGTGCACAGATATGCTAACATAATGCTGAGTTCATAAAAGTAAAGACTTTAATGATTCACATTTGGCTCACTGAAAGCTCCCTGAAAATTATATTATACGCTTATTGTTAGAGAGACAATTGAATCCTGGATATGCGTGGTTAATATTAAAAGAATATTTCACCTTCATTGACTTTCAAGGGACAATAGAACTGTTTGCATCTTCTACCTTCACATAAACAGTCAAACTATTGATGCACAGTGAAGCGTCCTATTATCTTAAAACACTTACACCAATTCTAATGAAGAAATCTTGATTATAAACTGGATATTAAACCTGAAAACAACATTAAAGCGATCAGATAGACATCACTGCATCCACCGCTCACTGCACACACACTTACACATGCAGTTTAACACAGTATTCAACACTCTAGATGCATTTATTATATCTTGTAAGATATAGATATACTGTATAATGTGTGTAGGTACTACTAGTACTACAAGAGGTGTTGATTGTTTTCAAAGGTTTCTGACAGGTAGTTGCAATGGAGAGCAATGTTTTAATGATGGTTCGCCGTATTACTTCTGTTCCATGTTCTAGCAGCGTGTGCACAAAGATGCACATTAGGCATGGGATGATTATGAATATTTCATGTCACAATTATCTTGGCCAAAATAATTGCGATATTATCACGATAATCATAAAAATATACTTGATAATTTTAAAATGGAACTAAAATCATCTTACCTTACATTTTGCTAAATGCATATCTATTGCATCACAGAGGCATCTCATATCCCTGTTTTTTATTTTGGAATCTATCTTCTATTTCCACTAATCTGGTTTACATTGTGTTTGTGGGGATACAACGGGCAAGCCGAGCCTTCAGCCATGGTGACAGGCTTAGGATTTTGGATTGACTGGAAAGATATGGGCTTCCCCTTGTCCCCTTGTTAAAAATAATTCAGGAAGTTGATATAGGCCTGTGTGCTGGCAAGCTAGACAACTTTTTCAAGTCAAACCATAAGAAGATATTCACGATTATCACAATAAGGGAAATTCACCACAATGAATTTCTTTGTATCACAATATGCAATAATATTGTATATTGTCCCATCCCTAATGCACATGCATATCATGATGGTGACATTTGGATGAGTTGGGGATTAGCTTTTTTTTTTTTTTTTTACTTTTAGAGTTTCATTATTTTTTCTTGAGTTACCCTTCATGGAGTTGTTATACACACTCTAACTTGCTGCTGTCTTAAAGGCAGGTTGTTGAGCCTCTGGAGACTCAGCCTCACCATCAACTCACCATGGGTCCCTGATGAAGGCTGAGCTCTTCTGAGCTCTTCTGAGCTAAGGGAGGCAGCTGCTCGGGCATGACTCAGACATGAAATATTGATGCCTTTGCTCTGCCTAGTTATTCCAGGAATAATGACACAAAAATGTGGAGGAAGCATAGCAATGAAACATTGAAACCCCACCGTCCATTCGTGGAGTCCATTGTGGGTCATTTATAAGATGCATACAGACTGGGGCTTCATGAATATTTCATATACTGTCACATATACTGTAGTTTCTTTAAATTGACGCATTTTGATGCAGTTACAGCATCAAAATGCGTCACTTTATAAAATATTAAAGACTCGATTTTGTGGTACTTTAAGTTTACAGTACAAAGTTACAGTATAAAGTTTAAGAGTTTTAAACCAATAATTAAACCAACACCAGTTTGATTAATAATCCCTGGATTCGACACACACCCAAAACACATGATTTAGGAAAATCAATAAAAACGGAGGTACCAGTTTTTTGTGAACGAGTCCTCCTTGGTCTCTTTTACTTTTGTTTTGAATAGTACGGTTTGAAAGTGGTTCAATGAGGTCAAGTGAGATTCATACAGCTACCATGGTGATCAATGAACCATCCAAACTAGCAGCATTGGACACCATATAAATAGTATAATACACTGTTCTTATGCTATCTGTTTATTTCCCCTGCATTAGTTAATATTTCTGTCTGCTCTAACATGCATCTGTGCATATTATATGACCTTGCTTCCCATCTCCACATTATTAAATTAAAGGCTTAATTATAGGCTTAAGACATTTATATTTTCTTAAAAACTTGCAGTTTACAGGTGTGATTTTGCTCTTCCACTAAATCGAAAACACCATAAAAGCCTTCTTGTGGTCATGAGTGATGATTTTCTTTTGTGCAGCACAGAAGCTGTCAAATGCCACAGCTAATGCTTATTGTCCCCCAGCTTGTTAAAACTGACTCTTGACCCAGGGGATAAATGCTTCATTGCCTCTGACATGAGTACCGCAATCATGCACCTGGAGACTGTCTGGCCCAAATGGGAACTCATTACCTGTGTCACCAAGACCCCTCGGCTTCACTCGGCGCCACATCATATTTTGGAAATAAAATATTTGAAATGGGTTTGAATGTTTCAAGCCAATTCGTTTATATAGCCCAGAATCACAATTTGCTTTGAGGGGCTTTACAGTCTGTACAGCGTACGACACTCTGTCCTTGCTTCAGTTTAATGCTATTTCCTAATGCTGCCGTATTGCCTACAATTAAGGCAGTTTATCTATAGTTTATGTAACTGTTAGTGTAGACTGCAGTGAGACCTTTCCTGAGACTAGTTGCATCAATAAAGCTATTTATGAATTTATTTTGGATTTTATTCACGTTTTTACTTAAAACAGCTTGTTATTATTGGTTTTTCCATTTCTGCAACCAATTATAAAGAGTGTTTGGTTCACATGAGCTCTCCAGTAGAAGCTTATGCACAACTTTTTTTCTCTGAAAGTTGAAAGCATTCAATTGGATGAATAAAGCAAGCATGCACTTTGTTGTGCTTATTGACAGGTTGTATGATGTTGGGGGTCAGCGGAGTGAGAGGAGGAAGTGGCTCCGCTGCTTTGACTGCATTCAGGCCGTGTTGTTTGTCGTGGCCCTCAGCAGCTACGATATGACACTGATGGAGGATCCTTCAGGGGTATGTTATGAAAAAGACAAAATGAAATAATGCCTTTTGTTTTCTTACTTGGCTGAATTTAGCTGAATTAGGTGCAAACTGCATCTATTCTCTAAGCCTTTGCCTACTTTACTTTTCCATATTTTCCCTTACTAGAATCGTCTGACAGAAAGTCTTGAGCTTTTTGAATCCATCTGCTCCAACGCCGTCTTTAGCAGCTCCTCACTGGTAAGTTAATTTGCACTTAAATGGCTTTCTTACAGAGGGATATGAATGTGTTTAGAATACAACAAGGCATCACGTCAGAGTTTTGTGTTTATGACCTTTATGCAGACGTCTACCATGTCTCATCTACATGTGTGGAGGTGACTGAAACACTGAGTGGCTTTAATTATATTCATTCATGCCGAGCAGACAGGACACAAACTGGCTATGATTGCGTCTGACATGCGTAATTAACATACGAAGTCTAATTGAGATGTGGGCAGGTGATTTCTGGGAGGTAAGCTGGCTGTAGCGCTATTGAAACCTTTATGTAATTAGTCTGTTTGATTCTTTCACATTGTGAGTTTGTGGGGCCATTTATATGGGCGTGAATGGTGATCAGTTGTTGGTAAGTAGCATCTGCACTTGATTAATTGAAGGCATTTAGGGGTGAGGGTTACAGCCACTTTGTGTTGAATGAGATTTCTTTTAGCAGTATGAAGAGATTCTATATAGGTGGTAGAGTACATACTGAAATACAAAAGGGTCGCCATAATGGTGTATTTAAGGCAAAGCTATTGGAAAGTATTGGCACACTCAACTAGCATAGAAGCCAAAATCGATCAATAATTAAAAAAATGGAAAGGTTAACAGGCTTTTCCTCTTCCTGTGTCTGTTTCCTGAAGCAGCAGACAGACTAATCCATCATATATTTGTTCTATTTCTATTTTTTTCAAGATGCGATGAAATTTTTTGTAAAACATCAGCAATTGGTATCAAGGTGCCACTGAATAGAGTTTTTAATACACTAACGCTCACTCCACCTTTCAGTGCTTTAGTGCCAGTAATGTGTGTTTTTATGGCTTAAACCACAGACACATGCAGTGTGGCTCTGCAGTTTAACTGTGTACAGATACACAATGTCTTCATCACAAAGGATGTTAGGATGCTCTGTGTTCATATACGGCAGTGTGGAGGAAACATTTTATTCATGAGGCTGATCCTACCACTTCACACTTTCGAACGTCAGTGTATAATGCTTGTGAAACAGCACAATGCTGCATATGTTACAAGACAAATGTTTGAACAAATCCACCTATTGTTCAGGTGGACAACTTGACAGAGCTTTGTCTTTCTACAGATACTGAGGTGTTAACTGTCCTGAAAGACATCAACTGGAGGCTCATTTGTATGTTGTCACTGTCAATTTTTTTAAAATTGTATTCACAATTGTGGTGCCATCTCTCGTTCCTACAGATTCTGCTTATGAACAAAACTGACCTTTTCCGTGAGAAGATCCTACACTCTGGAAGACACTTGAGATTTTACCTTTCTAGTTATGTAGGTACGTTGGAGAGAGTTGATTTATTTTTTTTGTGCTGTTAGAACTGTTGAAAGTATGCATACATTTAAATGTGACATACATACTTACCAATCAGATTTTAAACGTACTTTAGTCAATCTTTAATAAAAACATATCCAATATCAATTTATTCTTCTTCTTACTACTCAGTACTTCTTACTTGGTATTGTTTTTACAATCTTAAATTCCTCAAAGGATTGTTTGCATGTGTGTCTCTGATTTTGGTTGGGCGGTGCTGTCCGTGGGGTAATCAGAATTCCTTTTGGCTGGAGATTGTCACAGTATCCACATACAGTCTTCTGTTTATGTGCAGATCACTGATTCTGGCCAGATCATGGTCATACATAGTTCAGACTTATTCACAGCAAACTGAGAAGCAAACTCTGTGTCATGTTTATTTGTGTGTTTGGGGGATTGAGAAGCAAAGCGTATGTACAGACTCTGATCGGAAGCCAGTGCCTTGCTTTTATGAATATTTAATGTATCATACATTGTTCTGCCTTCGCCCCCATCCAGGAGCAAATTGTGACGTGGAGGCTGCAGCACACCACATCACTGACATGTTCTCATCATGTAACAACGGTCCCGACAAGCCCGTGTACCACCACTTCACCACTGCCACAGACACCACAAACATACAGGTGGTCTTTCACATGGTCATAGATCAGATCATCAAGGAGAACCTGGCAGCTGTCCAGATGGTGTGAAAGTCTCCCGAAGACTATTGAGATTGTGTTTTTACTCATTCAGCACTGGAATATTATTTTTATCAGTTATTTTCATGTTGTTGTTGTTTCCTTGTTTTTTTTCAATAACTTATTTAAGCAGCTAATGGGATTCTTCAAGCTGCACATTCCCCAATTTATTTTAAAACATTTTAAATAAAATATTTATTGATAAACATGCCTAGTCCTCTTAATTCTGTTTATTTCCAAGTACAGTGTTTATTGTTATTGTTGTTTTTTTCCAGTTATTATAAAATCTCACCATGTTCAACATGAACATTTATCCTTATATCAGTGAGCTGTTTTTAATACACGCATGTTAAATATAACTTTGAGAAACTGACACATCGTTATGGTTTTTCTGGTTTAAATCTTGTTTTGACACATTCAGTGCTTCTAAAACACCCATAACTGAATCAACTACCAAATTGTGCAAGTAACATGTTGCAAAAAATGCAGTGTGATTTAGTTATCTGTAGTATAGATGGGACAAAAAAATCCTGTTGTGTTTTGCATTGAGTAATTTCAACAAGGGGCTGCAATGTGATTAATTTATTAATGAAAACTCAGGTTATATATATACATTAATACATTACTTTTACAGAGTAAAGTTGTAACAGGTTTATCATAAAATCAATAAATAAATTGGTGAAATGGTAAATGAAAAGTAGCATATCTTCCATCTAGTGCAACACCAGTGTTAAACTTGAAATGGTACAGTTTTTAAATGCAACGCCTTCAAGAAGTAGGCTTCATCATCCAGCCCTGCTGTCGGCTTTACTGCTCAGTCTCCTGCACAGTCTGAGGAGTCCAGAGAGAGGAAGACGTCCGCTTTGCACTTAAATGAACCCTTGAGTTCCTGGAAGAGTTCACAGCTCTGCAGATTTGGTGTAATGTCTTTGATACAAACAGGCTGTTTGGAGAGAAACAAACAAATGATGCCATTACGTTAGAGGATACTTTAAAACTCAACCTTTAAATTCTGCGCACTTGAATCAGACAAACCATGTGAGATTTTACATCCCAACAAATTGCACCAATCGATTTACTTAATCTCAACCACAGAATGACATCTAAGTACACAAGTAATGTACATAACTACAAATCTGTGCCTCAGTGTTTCATATTCTACTCCACTACCTTTCAGAGGGAAACACTGCACTTTGTACTTGACTACATTTGTGACAGGTGTACTAGTAACATTATTACTAGACTTTACATAATGCAAAACATGAAGTGAGTTCCTAAACAGGGATACATTATAACAGATTTAACTGCCAAAGGTATATAAGTAGTTAAAATCAGGTCGACCTACACCAGCTACATTAGAATGATTCATTTATATGTGTCAGTAATAATCCATAAATATAATTCAGGATATAATTTGACAGAAGCCCTTCTGCTTTTTTTTGTTGATAATCTGAATGTTCAACTTTTGATTGTAATAAAGTGGATTTATACTGTTGTGGCTGAGTACTTTATCTTCAGCCCTACAGCGTAAAAACAGGAATCCCAAGACCATTTGTGCTGTCATAAATGCGGCTTTCATTACAGTTTATTGTTGTTTGAGTGGTGCTGACTGGACAGCTCCTCAATGACTGAAGTGATTTCTGGTTTAAAAAATGTATAAATTAAAGAAAGGAATACATTTTGGTCCTACAAAGCTTTGAAAAGGGTTCTTACTGTAAAAACGTACCCAGAGGTTAAGGTACAACAAACTATAAAGTAAGCTCAATACAATGGTGCAAAAAAGTCTTTAAATCTGAAAAAGTAATTTTAGGATTTTGTCAAGAAAGCTAATAATTGATGTTTTGTAATTTTAAGAAAAATGGCTACATTCAACACTAAACGTGAATAATACACTTGTGCGCTCACGCGTAATGCGTAATGGCAACCCCATCCAACCCGTAATGCCTTGTTAAAATCGATGCGCACTGACCATCGTCTTCAGGATGAAATTCTGCGGATTGAACTCAGAAAAGACGCTGTTGGTCGCAGACTCTGCGCTGTCTGACGGCTCCGGCTCGGCTCTCCTGACGTACGGTGACCTCCGGATACCGGACAGCAAGCCGGACGCCCTGCCCACCGAGTAGTAGCTTGGACCGGCCACCTGCTTGTACCATGCCTCCGTCGGACTGCAAGCGACCAGCACGGAGATTATCACGACGGGGAAGGCGAGTTTAGCGAACATCTCCATGTCGAGCGCTGATACTTGGGTCCTGATCCCTGACTGAAGTGACTGGTCTTCCTCGCACCGCTCGCTGCCTGTCTTCTTATAGGGACCCCGTGATCAGCATCGCAATTTCGTCAACGAAAAGTGCCCCGGAGTGGGCGACTCACATACACACACACACACACACACACACACACACACACACACACACACACACACACACACACACACACACACTTCAGATAAATCCACTCCTCCTGGCCAGCTTTATTCATTATATCTGTTTATCTTTAAAATGTTGAACCTGAAGGCATCATATTCTGCCATAACAGCTTATGTTTCTAAAAACAATTGTGAAATGTGCCAGTGAAGGTCTGATAAGTCTTCATGCATTGATTGTTCTGACATGAACTGAGGCAGAATAAGGCAGCTATGCTCAACTGACAAAACTGGATTTATAGAATTATATAGAATAAAATAAAATATAGTGCAATGGCAATTTTTAAGAACCTATACAACCCTTTGACCTGGTCATCGTAAAAACCATACGCAACTGTTAAAGAAGCTATTATAATACCCATATAACCTTTAGCCCTGTTTCTAACTACACTCTATGTCCAAGTAAACAGTGGGGTGTTGAGACTTCACTAAGAAGCCAAGGACATGATCATCTCACCACACTATCTGTCTGTTTACTGTCCCACAACTCAGGAATGTGTAACTGTGTTAGAGTGACGCTCCAACAGGGATACAACCATACTGCTTCTTCCAATCTTGGCTCTTTCGGACTTTCACATACCAGAGTGTGTGACGGTTGCGTCGAGTCCATTCATGGGTGACTTCCATAATTATAATTATAAATAATTATAGAAAAGTTAAAGTAGTCCCAAAGTGTGTACAGAGGTGACTCTGAAATCTTACAGGGAAATTAATATTATTTGATATCTGCATGAGACAAGCTGTTATCCACCCTTTTCATTCAGTTATTAAAGTTCCCCTCCACACATGTGTTTTAAGACATACATACAAATAGTCTGCTTGGAACTGACACACTTTTCTGCAAAAAACAACATAAAAAAAAAAAACAACTACTCCTTCTGACTCATTAAAAGTTCCATAATTTCACTGTAAAGTCCATTCTCAGTGTATGTGCACTATCACACTTGTGTAAATTGCATATTACACCAGCGTTGACTTCTAAGCTATTTGTGATGTCACAAATCATGCTCTTAGGCCCCGCCCCCTTAAAAATCAAGATTTTCATTGAGCACAGATAAACATTTCACTTTCAGCAGATGAATGTTCAAACCTCCTTCTACTGTCACACTCTGCACAGACATCATTCAAACAGTGAAGATCAAACATTCAGCTGACATTAACACTTTGAGTGGACTACTTCTTGTGTTGATATGACTGTTTGGTGGGGGGAAGAGCACTTCACACTCACCGGTTACATTTTTCTAGAATGAAACCTTTCAACCCGACTTTACTCTTAAATCTACAGTATTTTACTTTTTACATTGTCATTTTTTCACAATCAACTGTCAAATGTACAAAAAAACCATGAAGCAAACCACTCAGTCACTTTTACCACTTGGTCTGCACATTGTCGCATCTTGTCAGCACTTACAACTGTGACTTTGACCACAACAAAGCGCCATCAGGCTGCAGAGGACCCGGACTTCCACCATGCGGGGGCTTGTTTCCTACAAGTCAGGTTAAAGTAGAAAAAAGCTGAAGCGGAGCACTCTGTGTCTGTGGTGTATGTGACCTGATTTCACAGGCTTCGAAGTTTGTTATGACAACGTTTCTGTGACCCAAAACCTTATTTTTTTTATTACAGGAAGCTGTTACTTACAGTCTGTAGATGAAGAAGCACATACAGAAAAGAAAACACTCATTTGCAGTGTATTTGGAGTAGAAATCGATCAATATTTCTCACAGATCTTTTTCTTTACAAGCATTTTAGGATCAAGAACTTTGAAGATCTGACTTGATGGAAAGAAACACATTGAACACAGAAACATGACATGGACACTGATGCAGCTGTTTTTGGCCTGTAAGTACGACGCAGGCATGTCATTTATCCTTTTAAAAAAATGATCTTAAAGGGTATGAATGAATCTTTTTCAGGTGTTCTCTGCGATACATGGAGAGTGGAATATCAACAGCAACGTATCTGTGCAGTGAAAGGCTCGTCTGTTGTCATTCCTTGTTTGTTTCACCATCCAGAAAGCCAGACAGTGAAGAGAGTTATGTGGGGTTATGTTAAGTTTCCTCACACAAAGGGTCGTTTCGTTTCTGACAGCAGTTTAAATAAAGTCACCAGGAGATTTCAGTATATCGGTGACAAACGTCTGAATTGTTCTTTAAAAATACAACAAGTGGAGCATAATGATGCAGGAATATACACTGTCAGATTTAGTACAGGCAACAAAAAAGGCAAAAGGCTTAGTGATTTTAGCCCGACGTTAAAGGTTGTTGGTAAGTTGTTTTTTTTTCTTATTTTTTTATAAACATCAACTAAACTTGTAACCTGCAAAGTTTGATACTGAAGCAGTGCTCTGCTCTTCTAGATTTGAACATTTCCATGACAAAACCTAATGTGAATGGAACAGTGAAGGAAGGCGACTCCATCAATCTGACCTGCATAAACAGCTGTGATGATCTTTCATCTGCTTTCACCTGGTTTAAAAGTGGAGAACCATTCAGTGAAGGACCTGTACTTTATCTAAGCAACATGTCCTCCACAAACTCTGGAAACTACACTTGTTCTCTGAAGACACACACAGGAACAACTTCAGGAGTCATAAATATTGATGTTGAATGTAAGTATTGGACACAACTTAAATTGGTACGATTTAATTAAAACATTTAGAAAATTTCACTCAAATGAACAAAATAATCAGTTAGTGACTTTACCACATAATTTCTCTGTCGGTTAACAACCCCGGTTTTCTTTCAGATGGCCCGAAGAACACGTCAGTGTCTGTCAGACCATCGTTGGAGATAGACCCCAGCAGCAACTTCACCATGATCTGCAGCAGCCACGCAAACCCCCCAGTGGAGAATTATACCTGGTTTAAAATAGACGAAGATGATAACAATGCAGTCGGACATCAGCCTTTGTTCCTCTCTGCTGAAGGAGGCCAGTATTTCTGCACTGCCACCAACAAACATGGAAGTCAAAACTCCTCTGTTGTGACTTTAAAGATCAAAAGTAAGTTGCCTTATGTGGTTGCTGTTACCAGTTGTTTAGTGAATAATTAAATCATAATGAACTGATTTTTTTTTTTTTCCCTCACTCCTTAACTGTTTTGTTTTGTTGACATTGACTTTGCTTTATCATTGTTTTGGTTCCCACAGACAAAAATACAGAAATTATGATAAAGCACTGTTATTATACTAAATAGGGACATATTAAATGTTTTATTATTTGTTACATAGGATAAGCATAAAAATACATATCTCTTTTGTTTGCTAAAAAAGAAATGTTTTGACCCCAGAGAAGTCGAACAGGCAGTATTTAGGGTTCATTTATTTAATCACTTTTATAAATAATGTAGTGTCACAAGTGTATTTTGTGATACAGAGCTGACACACAACCTTTGTTTCACAGAATATCAGGCGACATTTACCAGAAATGTACTTATCATTCCTACTGTTGCTGTGCTTCTGATTGGGACTGCTGTTATTGCCGTCACAAGGTAAACTGTATTTATTTTATTTTTTGTATTTTGTATTAAGGTTTTTTTTTTAACATAACAGCAAAAAAGGACAACAACAAACAATGACAATACTGACATGACATTAAAGTAGGTTTACTAAATATATATATATATATAACTAAAGATGAACATAAATTAATGTAAGTAATAGCTGTATATGACCTGAGGTGATACAAATAAATGGTGGTTAGAATTGTAAGTATATATAGATATACAATATAGACAAAAAAATCGTGGTGGCTGGTTACACCCCATGGTGTCATGTCCAGAAAACTTTGTTAAGTTAATTCATTCAGTTTTGTCTCGTGTCTGTGTTGTCTTGTGATTTCCTGTTTTATTTTGGTTCCACTTCCTGTCTGTCTCTTGTCACCAGTTTTACTTTCTCCCTTTGGTCTGTTTTCCCGCTCTTGGGATTACCTGTCTCCGCCCTGATTGTTTCCACCTGTGCCCTTACCGTGTATATATAGTCCGTGTCTCCATTTGTCCTGTGCCAGTTCGTCTTGTCCCATGTGTCAGAGAACCAGTGCTTTATCCATGCCACTGCCACTGCCACTGCCACTGTCATTGTCATTGTCATTGTCATTGTCAGGTCTTGTTGTTTTGTTACTTTGTTTGTGAAAGAGTGACTTTCTGTTTGTTTCCTTAGTCTTAGTATTACCTCGTTGGAGTGATTTTTCTGTTTAGTTAATAAAAACCTTATTTTGAAACTTTCGTCTGAGAGTTGTGCATTTGGGTTCTGGTCCATAGTTTAGTCGTGATACAGGGTATGTATGGGTGTATTACGGACAGTTTATATTACGCTGTAGAAGGCAGCTAGATGTTAATAATTTGTAAAACTGATTCTTGTAACCCTCAAACAAAAGGTATTTTTCTCTAATTTAATGAAGAACAATAAGTCATGAACCCATTGTGTAAAGCTGAGTGAGGAAGTGTCTTTCCATTTCAGAAGGATCAGATATGGGCAAAGATAATGCAATCTGCTTTTGAGAAGGACACTGACTTATTTACAGGGACAGCAAGAAATTAAAGAAAAGATTTAAGAAATTCTTTGATGTTGCTGCATGACCAGAGCATGTGAACTGGGGTTGATTTGCAGTGGTTACATGCAGGGCTCACCTCAGGAAACAATTTTGACGGTTTTCGGTCTGTGGTGAAGTTTTTTACATTGCATAAAACAATGTTGTAATCAAATAGAGGAAGTGTGGAATAGAATGAAAGATTATCTGAAAACGTGGTATTTAAATCTGTTTCCCTCTCAACTTTTAAAGGCATCAGACGGAAATGTTGGTTCTATAAAAGCTCATTATAAATGACAGAGATTATGGCTTTAAATGATGAAGACTAAGATGCCATTGCAGGAATTACATGAGGGTAAAGCGGGAAATTCAAGAAACATTCATTTTCACAAATTAAGCTGTAAATTGTATTTATAGCCCCTTTCAGACACGTGCCCCTCTACATTAATCGGATGTTACATAGTCTATAACATGTTTGTTTTTATGTAAAATCATAATTGTGTCAGATAAATGTAGTGGAGTAAAAACAATGACATTTCCCTACAAAATGTATAGCAGAGTGGAAGTATAAATTAGCATTATGGAAATACAAGTGGTGGAAAGTATTTACTTAGTTTCCACCACTGCAATGGAGATTACTGTTTATCAAAATTATATAACAATAATTCTGTTTATCTGTTTCAGACTCAACAGAGAAAGGAAGCAGACACCACAGACAGACTGTGGGGAGGACACACAGGTGGTTATTTCTGGCTTTTTAGTTCATCACTTTCTGTTGTATTCTGACTTTTTCTGGCATCCATTATATTTAGTACACTCTGTATTACACTGCATAACCTGATGAGGTAGTTAATCTAAAACTGTTTCAGGAAACTGACTGTCTTAAATTGTTTAAGTTTATTAACAATTTAAGTCAAGTATTTATTCATAAAGTAACTAGTAAGTAGATTACAGTCATATGCAGCCTTTCTTAATTTTCTCTGGATTAACTAATCTAATTGTTACTGCTATTATTAACTTTTCAACAATAGACTACTTTTTTTTATGTGACCAACATCAAATCTCTACACTTTGGGGGATCACTGAGAATCATTTAGATGCATTACAAACTGTAATAAAAACAAAGATAAAACTAAATCCTAAACTATATGGCATCATAACAGTCAACAAACTGGGATTACACCAATAGTTAAGATTCTGCACACATTTTAGTGCACTTAAAACATAAGATTATTTTTGAGTTCATTCATTGGAATGAGTGACTCACGGTTTCACAGTGTACAACTAGGGCTGTCAGTTGCTCAGTGATTGTCTGCAACTGAGATAGGCAGGTGAAAGGCAAGCTGAACCCACATCCGAAGACTCTGCTAAATATCAAACACACGATTGGTATCAGATAAGAGAACACAGAAGTTGTTTTTGTTGTGTGGGTAGAAGATTTACAGAGAACCTCCTCACAGAAAAGTAAAGGCAGATGTAAGAAGAGGAGAAAATTCTACACTAATTAATCTTGTGTTATTTCTTCATGATTGTGTTCAGCATACAGACTATGTCAACTGGCTCGGCTGTGAAAATATCCAGTCAGACGAGGGAAATCGGTGTGAGGGAGGAACAACAGAAGTCGTCTATGCAACTGTTAACTTCAACAACAAAAGAACGTCAAACACGTGAGATGTTACCTGTATTTATTTTTGTCACATTTGCTGCGTCAGAGGCAAGTGTACTGACTGACTATATCACCGGCAGGGAGCAGCCGAGGAACTGCCATGATGATGCTGAAGATGTGATTTACAGCACAGTGTGGTGCAGGTAAAGCTCAGGAAACACTTTTAATGAACAATTATTTGTTTAAAGCGGATTACATGCAAACATTTTTTCTTCTCTTTTTCAGGAAACAACCGTTGAACCCTTCATATATGGAGCCTTACTGATTTGACAACAAACAGAAACAGGTGTATTGATAGTCATAATGTTTTCAGGGTATATATATTGCTCTATATTTTACAATATTTTGAGATTTGCTGCACCTGCATTGCAGTAAATATAAAAAATATTGCTGTTGCAATGATTCTGTTGGCTGTGTGAGTATTAGAATTCACAAAGAGTCTGTAGTATAGAGTGTTTCATTGTTCTTCTTGTGCCTGATTCAATAAAAAAGGAACGACTGGTGGTCTGAGACCCATTCTGACATATTTTCACATCATGCCTTTTCTTGTCTCTGATGGTGAAGTCTGCTTGCAGCCAAAATTATTGTCAAATGGTGAAAAAGTTTCATCAAAGAGAAAAAAAAACAACAACCAAGATTTGTATTTTTAATGCATGTTTTTGTATTTCTTTCATCACACCTCTGGGTCAAACGTGTGGTTTGTGCATGCACCCACCGGCTGTAAAGTTTTTTTTCTGGCGTGTTTTCAAATCACATACACTCTTGTGGTTCTGGCGCTGTGAAAGTTCATTAGCTTTCTGTAGTCTTCAGTTCCTGAGCTCAACAAGAGTTATCTAAAATGATGTTGCCAACTGTAAACCTCCAGCAATTGTAGCAGGTTCAACAGGCAGTAAAAACTGGGAAAATGTGAAAGAAATAAAATGCATAGACATTTATTTCTTATTAAATTTGGTACATTTGCTCACAGCTAGTGGTCTTTCTTTTTATTGATGCAACAATGTGCCAATGTACCAAAGAGGATAAAGTCCCCATAGTTCCACCTAACACATACAGAAATATACACAACATAGAGTCTGCATGCAAGTCTTCACGGCAAAAACTGCCTAATGCTGCGTAAAAGTTCTTCAACAAATTGTAACAAGAGAACCAAGAGAATGAGGTGACACTTGTGTCTTCTAGTCTGCCTTTAGAACTGCGCTGATTTACTACCCTTATAACATTGTCAGACCCATAATGGACAGTTTAATAAAAAACATCAAAAGAATCTTCTTCCTTGTCAAAACCTGATCTACATTACCCACGCTGCAACTCAACCGCCCACCGTGCAATCGGAGATTCATTTGTGTTATGATAGCGGCTAATGTTGCCTCGAAACTCTAGTCAGAAGCAGAGATGAGGAGCGAGCTATAGAGGTCTGGTGGGCTCCACACCTCCAGACGTTTCATTTTCAAACGTGTAGTCTTCAGTCCCGACCGACGCTGACTCAAGTGACATTACTTGAGGCAATATCAGATTTCACGCAGCCCCCCTCACCTCCCTTTTTTCACTTTCACTGTAGTTGCAAAAAAAATATCAGGGTGCAAACTAGAGTACGGTCCCCTCCCCAAGACCTCTGAACAGACATGATGAATAAAATGATGTGTAAAAGTGTGGAGTTCCCCCTTTTCAGTAGCTGCTACTGGTACAGTATATAAAATGTACATGTTCAACAATAGATCCCATGTATGCAGATATTATAACTTTCCATTTAAGAACCAAATTACCAAAGATAACCATTGAACCTGTATAAAACAAATAGGCTAAACAATGCTCAACAATTGAATACAGACAACCTCATAGTAACACTTGGTCAGAATGGTCTAATTGTATTAAAAATATCACAATGCCAAAGTACCTCTGACTGTGCCACAAAAAAGTGGCATAAGCATGTGACATATTTCCTCTGTGCAGGGCCTGGTTTCATACGCTTACATCCAAATTTGAGCTGTGCATTGAGTTTGTGGTGTGTGTGACCTGATTTCAGGGGCTGAGAACAATCAGAAACTTTATATAAAGCTTTGCTCTGTAGAGGTAGAGGAGAGAAGACATGGTCATTTGTGTTTTTTGGTATTTTGAGTTGAAAACGATCAATGTAGCCAAAACCGTTCGCAAAGAATTTAAGATCAAATAGATGCTTTGTTATTACTTAGACAGAGTTTCAACATGTGTCTTCACCACAGAAACCTGACACGGACTCTGATGCTACTGTTTCTATATGGTAAGTACAACATTTAAATCTTAAGGTAACATTTAAAGAATTAAATTATTTATGCAGTAATGCATTTTTTTTTTCAGGTGTCCTCTGCGATGAATATAAAGTGGAATATCAACAGGGACATATCTGTGCAGTGAAAGGCTCGACTGTTGTCATTCCTTGTTCATTTCACTATCCAGGCAATCAGATAGTGGACAGAGTTATGTGGGGTCATGAGAGGCATAATATTTATGATGGTCCTTTCATATATGAAAGCATATCCAATAATACGCTCCCAAGATTTCACTATAATGGTGACAAAAAACACAATTGTTCTTTGGAAATAAGCCACGTAGAGCCTAATGATACAGGGAAATATACCTTTAGATTCATAACTGACTCTGCAGTTGGCAAATGGACTGGTGTAGAGGGCTCAACATTAAAGGTTGGTGGTAAGTTTTCTTTTTCTTTTTCATAAACTAACTATAGTTGTAAATCTTCTCCGCACTTCAAGCTGTAAAGTTTGATACTGAAGCAGTGCTCTGCTCTTCTAGATTTGAACATTTCCATGACAAAACCTAATGGGAACAGAACAATGAACGAAGGCGAGTCCGTCAATCTGACCTGCATAAACAGCTGTGATGATCTTTCATCTGCTTTCACCTGGTTTAAAAGTGGAGAACCATTCAGTGAAGGACCTGTACTTTATTTAAGCAACATGTCCTCCACAAACTCTGGAAACTACACTTGTTCTCTGAAGTCACACACAGGAACAACTTCAGGAGTCATAAATATTGATGTTGAATGTAAGTATTGGACACAACATCATCACTTTACAGAAAGAGAATTCAATTGGTACGATTTAATTAAAACATTTAGAAAATTTCACTCAAATGAACAAAATAATCAATTTCTCTGTCAGTTAACAACCCCGGTTTTCTTTCAGATGGTCCGAAGAACACGTCAGTGTCTGTCAGACCATCGTTTGAGAAAGACCCCAGCAGCAACTTCACCATGATCTGCAGCAGCCACGCAAACCCCCCAGTGGAGAATTATACCTGGTTTAAAATAGACAAAGATGACAACAAAGCAGTCGGACATCAGCCTTTGTTCCTCTCTGCTGAAAGAGGCCAGTATTTCTGCACTGCCACCAACAAACATGGAAGTCAAAACTCCTCTGTTGTGACTTTAAAGATCAAAGGTAAGTTGCGTTACATGCTCATGATACAACTGGTCCTTTAGGCTGTTTGAAGGGCAGGGGTGAAAAAATGTTTTTAAAATGGCACCAGATGCATGTGGTGGAGCTTCAGTGCACAGACAGCGGTGATGCATATTGAAACAGTTACATACCCCATTTCACGTAAAGCACCCTTGAAGGCCCCCGTATCATGTTTTTTTCATTTTAAGGACACCCACTTAAGAGCACCCTAGATAGCACTAGGGCACTTTTGCTATTTTATTTTATATATATAGTTTAAGGATCATAAATGTTTAATCCAATCAATCACTTTTGAGTAGATCACATTGGATTTAATTCTTGTGCTCTTTCCTTTGTTACACAGAATATCAGGCAACGCCTAACAGTAAAATATATCTACTTATCCTTCCTCTTGTTGCTGTGCTTCTGATTGTGACTGCTGTTATTGCCCTCAGAAGGTAGCTGTATTTACACTGTATCACTATTATATCTCATACACAACAACCATGAGATGTTTTTCCGAAGTCTGTTCTTGTGTTTTTAGACTCAACAAAAAAAGGACAACAGCATCAGAGGCGGACCGTGAGGACGACACAGAGGTAGCACTCTCATATTACTAGTGTTAGTGTGTGTCTGATTTGTATGTAAATTAAAGCTGTGCCACATAAACTGTGTGCTGTACGTTACAGGTTAAGCTTTTAGTTGCATTGAGGTTGTCTGCAAACCCTAATCTGATGTTCTGCACTCATTCTGCACTCATTAATCATGTGGTTATATATTCAGAATGCAGTGTATGCCAACTGGCCTGTTTTAGACAAAAACCAATCACAAGAGGGAAGCCAGAGTGAGGGAGCAACAGTGGAACTCATCTACGCAATGGTTGACTTTCACACCAAGAGAAAGTCGAACATGTGAGATATCCTTACAACTGTTTCCTATTTTTCAAGTAACAATTTATGTTGCGTGAGAGACACATGTATTTGTCAACTGTATCACCTGCAGGCAGCAGCATATGGACTCCCATCCCGATGACGAAGACGTGATTTACAGCACGGTGTGCAAGTAAGGCTCAACAAGAACTTACACATTTCATCAATAATGGTTTCCTTAAGGCAAGTGCATGTGTTTTTCTTTTTTTCTTTTTCAGGAGCCAGCCGTCGTACTCTTCTGAGCCTTGATTTGACACGTGCCAAGAGGGGTAGTGACATGATATTTTTAGGGTATTTGGTTTATGATTTTTTGGTTTTTATTTCCTTACACTGTCAAAATCTGACAACAAGAAAAAAAAAACAACACAGCTGGAACTCTTCCCCTTTCCCGACACTAATACTTGTAACTAAAAGAAAAGAAAAAAGTTCAACAGAATCTCAATAAATGTTTATCTAAGGTTGCAGTAAACAATGTACTCTTAAGATCAGTGAGGTATAAATCAACAGAAACTTTAATAGAAATTAAAAACACTCCTCTGGTACACGTGAAATAAAAATGTGCACTGAGCCTCTGTTCTCATCATGTTATGGTCTGTAAAGGTGATACACATTAAAACATAATCTGATGGGAAATGTATTTAAACAGGCTGCTCAGAGGATAAATGTTTTGATATACATCATTACTATAATTGCCATGATTGTGTTAGTTGCACAGTGAGAACCTATAAAATGTATTCAGTCTATAGTGTGCCATTTTCTTTTCTTGATTCAACACAAGCGACTGTGAGACTCAGACGGTGACACATCCCGGATGGCGTCCTCCCACTAGTCTATCTTCCTGAAGTCAGTCAAAGTCAATAACAAAAGATGATCAAAAATCCTCTCAGAGTGTTGTTTTTTTTTAATGCATGTTATTGTATTTCTTTCATTGTGCCTCTGGATCAAAAGTGCGCCATCAGCTGTTAAGTTGTTTTCTGCTGCTAAGAGTTTTACATATTGATAGATGCTCTTGTGTTGTGGTCTTGGCACTGTGTGCAAAAGTTAATTTGCTTTCTGTGGTCTTTAGTTCCTGAGGCTCCCAGGTTACTAAAATCATATACCCACTAACACAATTGCAACGGCTTCAACAGGCTGTAAAAGATAGAAATGTGTGAAAGAACTGAGATACAGGCTTTTGTGTGAGGTAGAAACTCAAATAAGTGCAACACAAAAACACTATACAGTAAAACAGTAAAAAGAAGTGTTTTTGCTTTTCATGTTAAAACAATTTTTACTCATTGACTCCAATTAAGCTTCAGTTTTCTTTCTTTCATTTCTTTTCACAACATATGTCTGGTTGTCCTCTGGGGCTTTTGTCATGAATGTGGATGATGAAAAAACACACACCTGCACATTTAATATCATTAGTAAATATGTAAGCTATACCTGCAATGTGTGCTTTTATTTGCAACCAAGTGGGCAAAATGGCTTTGACATTTCCTCTTGTATACTGTATCTGAGACAATAAACAACCCTGCAAACAGCTCCTCTGTTTTTTTTTATAAAAACTTTATTTTTGAACTTTGAACTATTTCCGGCCACAGGACTCTATGACTGTATTGCTATTTTAGTTTATAGAAGTGATGGTGGTAGTGTGGTGAAGACAGGTCTTAATACCTTTTTGGTCTGACAGCCTGAATCTAACATGACTCCTGACCTGGGAGTGCAGTCCAAGTTGCCATGGTAATGTAGCCCACCCGCACAAAATGAAACAGAAACACCAATCTTGGGTGTTTTAGCAAGATAACTTTTTTTTTTTTTTTTTACCCGAAGAGCACAGCGTCCATGTGTGAAATCATTTGGTGCTGCAGATGTCTGGTTGAAATGAAAAAAGTCCCTGCACTCCTTGATGCATACCCAAAACTTTACCTCAAATTTCAGGTTATTCTGCCCTCTGCTGACCATTTGACAGCATAGCACTCTGAGACAAGTTACAGACACCTCCCTTGCTCTTATACAGGCAACACACAACCTCAGTGGATGAGTGGGTGTCATGTGAGACACAGCTTGTAACGGGATAAAAGGTCATCACAGGACACTCATTATATTATAACTATAAACATCTGCAGGTTGAGCGTGTTTCCCTTTATTGACAGTAACAGGATCTCCTTTACGTGTGGATTTCTCACTGAAAACACAGCACACAGCATTAGTAGTGGAGCTTTATGCAAGAGCTACAAACATGCTTCCTCAGTCTGAATTCACAAAATGAAACAAACCTGACCTTGCTATGCTAAGGGGGGGGGCAATGTGCTTATAAAGTGTTTCATAGGAACTGGTCCAGTCCTGCTACTCTGTGGACTTTGTTTTAATGTTCTTTCAATGTGGGGGTTACTTGTTGAATGTTTTATTTTATATTGATCTAGGGAAAAGCCTGGTTTTCTAACGACCAGTTGGGTGTGCAGCCACACACAGACATTTTTCTTTCAGGGCCTGAAAGCTTTGTCACCATATAACCAACCAGAAATATGACAATCTTTGTTTAAGGACATTTAAAACGACCCAAAAAGTGTCATTTTAATCGCAGCAAATACTTTTGTGCCACAAGCCATCAAGCTGAGTGCAAATGTTCCTCTTCAGGTTTCTCTAAGGAGAGAACATCAAGCACCTTAATGTAACAGATTGAAAACATAAGAAATATGTTTCATAATAACAAAAATAAAAAGGGACACAAATGTTTCTCTTACACACCATTTGGGCCATTTTTCATTAAGGGTTCAACTTCTGCTTCTTAAACTAACAGTACAAATCCAAAACACAATAAAATGTAGTCATATTTTAATTTAAAGAAAGCAAAATCAGGACCAACATCACTGGAAACTGGAATTATTGGATGTCTTTAGAGGAAGGTTGAGGATTTAGGCTACAGCACAGTGTCCTAATTTATAACTTTTCCACACGTGAACTTGCTTAGTCACCCTCCATATTCCAGAAATATACCAATATGAGTCATTAAGAAAGTCAACTTTATTAGTTGACGCCCATTTCTGACAAAACGAAACTTTACAGGACGTACGGAAGTGAAAAGACAGTCGCCGGTAACACCGCCGCTCCAGCAGAGATGACTTCTGGGCTTTTCCTTTCCTAATAAACGGAAAGGTGGAAAAAAGGGTCGCACCCAGCTCGGGTAAGCCTCCTAAAAAACGTTCATTGTTTTGTATAAAGCTGTGGGGGGGGAATGATAGCGTCAGACCTTACGTTGTGACAAACGAGGCATAAACAAATCCTATTAGCTTCAGTGGCTATCAGACCCCGCTGTCACAGGACACGTCTGAGTAAGTCTGGCTCAAACGGGGCTCACATGTAACGCGGTTGACACCTGCCATTGCACCTGCACGTTTTTAATTCATGACTGTTTATCTGGGACGTGAGACAGGGGAGCATACTAGCTCATGTGAGCTAACGTACGCAGCTCTTCTTACAGTATAGCCTTTACGGAGCGGGGTGGTGGGCTAGTTACGCTAACTCGCTGCTAACGTGTAAGCGAGGTCGCTCATTTAGTGTGTTGTGGCTGCGGCCGATAAATGTGTCGTTCAGACTGTGATAACAACGCTCTCTACTGGTGCTACTGGTGGTGCTGGTGGTGGTGGTTTTGTTTAGTTAGCGTTCTCAGGTTTGCGCTTGTCAAATGAGGTTGTAGGCTGCAAAAGAAACAGGAAATGACGTATTCAGAGTTTTTGGAAAAGCGAATATTGAGATTGGCTGAACGAAGCAGCCGAAGATCTGTTCATGAAGGAGAGGTATCACTCCGCACTTGATAAACGTTGTCCCACCTTCTGGGCTCAATTTTTCTTAGCATTTTTCATGCTTACTAAAATTGCCACTAGTATATGATTTTATATTATGTTTCAGTGACAGTGTTTTTGTTTTTTTATTATGATTTTATTTACCTAAGTAAACAGGCTTCATATACACTACTCACAAAAAGTTAGGGATATTCCACGTTCGGGTGAAATTTATGGAAAATGTAAAAAGTTGATGCTACAGTGATATTATATCATGAAAGTAGGGCATTTAAGTAGAAGGTCAAATTAAGATCACCTGGAAAGGTTATAGTGCATTTTATGTACATTCTGAAATTTCATCCGAAAGCCGAATATCCCTAACGTTTTGTGAGTTGTGTATAATTAAGTAGGCTACACTCCAAAGCCAGTCATTTGCATTTTTTCCATATTAAGAATTTGCAGACTTGGAGATATATTTTGTGTATTTTCATGAATAACATAATTACTAAAATTGGTATTTCTTAGTGTGAAAATAAGTTGTCATAAACTTTGAACATGTATGCACAGAATTAAATGTATATCTCTCTCTTTTTACTGGCCCTGATGGACCAGAGCTGCAAAAAACTTATTTAGTTTTCAAATGAGAACACTGCTGACTGTGGGTTTAAACAGTAAAGGTAATTGTTTCCTCAGAGTGTAGCCACAAATCCAGAGAGTTTCATCAGAGAGAGATGAGAGCAGTGATTTCACAGATTAATTTTTAATTTCCATAAGTGATTTTTTTTCAGAAAGTAATGATGATAGTAATAATAATAGTAATAATCAGATTATACATTTTACACTCTAAAACACCAGAATAAATCTGCAGATGGATAGGAGTGTCTACTAACCCTGTTTTGCCTGTATGTAAATGCCTATCTAATGCTGCCCTTTGCCCCCTAATTAATAGCAGCACTGTGTGTAAAATATTTTATGAATAAGTAAGTTTATAGCAAGTTTTCTACAGAAGAGTACTTGGATATTTTCTTCTTTTAACTAGTTAATTTTTCTAAAGCATATTTTTTTTTAGGTCTAGTGACAGTGAGACCTCTTTTCTTTTTCTCCTCTTTGGCTGAAGTCAGTTTATTATTGGGTGTTAGTTAGCGGGACTAAAGGTGGGTGTGCAGTGGCTCTCTGACACTATTTCCATTTCTATCACTGCACAATATGATTATTTGTCAATTTGTTGAGTAAGACTGCTCAAAGTTCAAATAATAGAAACAGCTTTGCTCTGGGTGGTGGAGCTGAACGCAGTCTCACCAGGCCTCAGCTGGCAGAATTGAAAGTGAAAGGATTCTGCTACGGGGTGGGACATACATGTAATCTCACGTTAGAGTTAAACTTGTTTATTCATTTGCAGACATCTCTGAAGTCTGAAGATGAAGTGTTCTTGTGGCCATAATGTTTTGGAGAAAACAGCCAAGTTCTGCAGTGAATGTGGTCGGAAGCTGTCTGTCCAACCTGCAAACACACAAGGTAAGTACATTCATTTAGAAATCTGGTTTAATATAATATGTTTTATTTTCTTTCAGTTTGTTAATACAGCATCCAAAATATAATTAGAAAAAAAATAAATGTCACTTTCTTCCTAAATTACTAACTGCTTGACATGAAAATCGTGAAACAAATGGTCATTGGCAGGTTAAACAAACAGCGTCTTTACATACTGAGTAAGTTGACATTGAGAGCAAGGTCTGTATTGTGACCTACTTTATAAAGAGCCCATGGGGAAAATGCAAACTTGAGCCATGTGACATCATGTTCAAGTTTAGGTGTTTTGTTTGTAACTGATAATTAAGTAAAGATAAGTAATACAAATAAAAAGCCCAGATGGGTCCATAGTAATAATACATGAATTATGTTTTATGTTATGATTGTACTCATTATGGAGATGGCTGTCCAAACTATATTCTTTGCAATGTTTGAATGCGTCTTTTTCTATCTTTTTTTTTCTTACCCCAGCCTCCAGAGTGCTAATGACACAGGCGCTTACCTTGATTACTGCTCAGCAGTCTGGTTGGCTGTAGCCAAAAATGTTTAAGCTCCAAATTGCTCAGAATAAAGCTGCAAAGCTCGTACTGCCCTGTCCGTTGGCATGAGAGGTTGGCATGCAATCTAATGAGTTTCTTTTGGAATATTTGTTACTGTGAACAATCAAATTGTCTGTACTCATACATAACTGAGAGAAAGCATAGATAGATAGATAGATAGATACTTTATTTATCCCGAGGGAAATTCATGATTCAAGCATAGCCACAATACCAGGCAGGCTACTACCCGTGTTCTATGTATTGTTTCATATGTATGTTTTGTTGTGTGTGGACTCCAGGTGATTTGGATTCGCCTCCTGTTGCTAACTCCCAGACCAACAGCACTGTGTAGTTTTTACATATGTCTCTGGATGCAGTCTGAATTGTATACTACATGTTTTTAATCCAGATACAAACGATCAGCCCAAATCCTTGGTAGCAGACACAGAGGCTGAGAAATCGGTGTCTCCTGTGGGCAGCAAGGACTCCAATAAATCCCCCAAACGTCCGAATGATGAGACCATCAGCAACCCAAAGAAAAGGGTGAGTGCAGCTAATGTCCCAGGTTCCCACAGGGTTCTGTTGGTTTTCTGTAATTGATTTAGCAAATGCATATTTTAACATTCCTGCTCATTCTTACACACAGTTCTGGTTCACTTCCACTTTCAATTCCCACACACATTCTTTGAAAACGAAAGTCAAACAATTCTAAGCTAATTATTATATACTGACATTACTGAAATAGCTTTTAGAAGAAACAAACATCAACAAAATAAGTTTGATTGTATTGTTTTATATTATAATATGATGTCCTAACTGGGGGCACACTAAGTGATGCAGTGCAATGGGGTTTTGAGCTTTTTTTTTTTTTTTTTTTGAGCTGAACTTTTGTCAGTTGGCCTGTTTCTGTTTATTCCTGTTGCTCAAAGTGGAAGCACTGCATATGGATGAGGAACAACTGATTCATGAAGCTAAAATAAGTAGTATAAGTACTATATGATACCTCCTCATTTAAGTACAAAAAGCTAAATGTGGAGGCAGCCGGCTGGAGGGAAATCACCAGGGACCTGGGAGTTTCTTGTTAAAGAACACACCATAGCTAATAACAACCTAAATAAAAAACAAATTAAGCAAGTACTCACCCATCTTTTACTTGAGTGTTGATGATGATGGTACATGGTTTGTTTAAGGGGCAGCAGAAGTACATATTTAAAGATTCTATGTGGACAGAAAGCATCCGACATAATTCAATGCAATAGTCAGACGTCTGCATGCAGTCAGGACAAGCTATTAGTAATAAAGTGGTTTGTAACACTGTTCCTCTTCTTTATGGTCATCATAGAAAAAAAAGAAGAAGAAAAACAAAAAGAAGAAAGATGGCACCTTGTCTTTAGACCAAGATCCAAGCCAGTCCGAACTGTCCCAAGTCTCCCTGGGAGACAACCAGGGGCAGACGACAAAGGGCGAAAGAGAGTCCTCTGACAGTGAAAGCTCAGATAATGCAATGGATGAAACACCAGAATCACTCCAAGATGGGCTTTCCCTAGAGAGCCAGCCTAGTTCCTTAACAGCTAACACTCCTGCTGCACCATCTGAACACGCACAAGTCATACAAGGTGAAACAACTGCAGCCCCAATGGAGACCGCAAGCTCTGAGGAAGCTCCGGGTAACCCTGATGAGGGAGAGAGCAATGCACCGAAATCAACTCAGGATCAAAGACTCAAGACAGCACTGACTGACACTAAAAATAAACAGCCCACATCAGAGGACAGCAAGAGTACGACTCCTCAGTCAGATTCAGGCAAAGGGACAAAGGCCACTAACTCTAAAGAGCAAAAGACTGACAAGAACTCAAAGAACAAGAAAGACACGGTCCCCACAAAACAACCTGCACTGGATCAGAATGCCAACGTGGAGCTGAAAGTGAAACAGACAGGACAAACCAAACCGAAGGGAAAGAGTCAGCAGGAGCAGAAACAGAAGCAGGCTCCTGCAGCTGAACAAAAGATGGTTTTTGGCTCTCAGGAACCATCAAAGGTAATGCTGGCTAAAATTTTATTAAAACAATCGTTGTTTACAAATAAGCTGTAATTTTATTTGTTTAGTGAAGAAAGAGTTTAAGTTGTATATTTGACAGACAGTTTTAATGCTGCTTTTACAGGCTCACAGCACAGGCTCAAGTGTTGACCCACAGGGGAAGGTTGAGGACATGGTGGTTCAGCAGTCTGGTAGCGCACAGGACTCAACTGCTGCAAAAACAGACACTGACAAGGAAGGTAAAGTTGGCAGAAAGGATAACAACGAATCCAGCACCCCAGCGGCACCGCCACCCAAAAGGTGATGAAGTTCTCTCATATCCTTGTACACATTTGATTTAGTTATTTTGTGTCAGTGCATTACATTTGCTACATCTGTATTTATTTGTTTTTGCTTTGTAGGCTGACCAGGAACAATACCATTGCTGCACGTGAGAGACTCACAATTTACTTCCATGCAGTTCTCTCAAAGGATTTCAAATTCGATCCAAAAGAAGATCGTATCTTCATCAGGGCAGGGCGCCAAATTGGGAAATGGGAGGAAGATGCGGTTGAGCTGTCTGTGTCCAGGTACTTGAATTAATGGTTAATGAAGTTCAGATGGTGGCCTGATACATAGGCATAACAAACAACAAAAAATTATCCTGCAAAATCCACATATCTTTTTCTTGATTACTAAAAAATAATATAACAATTAAAAAGAGTAAACATAGAATACATTTACTATTACGTTGCAATGGCATTGTCACGAAACTTTGCCTTTTAGGCAAATTGCTATAAAATCAAGCTAAGTTTTCTTTCAGTACACAATCCCCACTGCTAGGTACAGCCAGCCATAGCAGTGGACTGGTCAACTGCAATGCCGACTACTGGCCCTGTGGTGATGGGTTGGAATTCAGCCCTACTGTTTAATTCCCTGCTCCAGAAAATAAAAGAGTGCTCACTGACATAACACTACGTACATTTGAATTTATTTTCCTTTCCATGCAGGGATCTTGGAGAACATGGTTTTCTGGTGGAGGGCAGTTTGCAAACAATCAAAAGGGAAGCTGAGTCTGTGTCGATACCGTACAAATATGTTGTCTACAACAATAAAAAGGAAAAATATGAGTATGAGTTCATATACAAACTGGATTCTACACAACCAACCAACAGATGTTTGTTTGTGAAACCCCACCTCCTTAATCAAGAAGGTAAATGCATTCTTACCTGAGGCTATTTGTAATTACATCTGCCTGCTTGGTATCAGCATTTGAACATTATATTTTGATTATTATTCTGAAATTTCTGTCATTTTTCTTTTTCCTTAAAGGGGACTGGCATCAATATGATGACATCATCTGTGCAGAGCCATCAAAGAACTTGCTCAAACGCCTTAAAGAAAAGTTCTTACCTGAACAAAAGAATAATCTGATTCAAGGCAGAGAGATTGCAGGGAATATAATGCTGGAGACCATCTTTGATCTTCTCAGGAGCTGGACTGATGTCAATTTGAGAAGTTTTCTGATCCAGTTGAATCAGTTCTTTGAGGTTTATGGGGAACCTTTTGTGTATGAGGAACAAGAAAAGAAATGGTACTCCTTAGACTATGGGAAAGATAATGTAAGTTTGTAAATTCATAATATTCATACATTAGCATACACCATCTAGAAACAACCCGATAATGTTACTCTCAAATCACCTTTGTTTACTAGGTGAGGAGGATGCTCAAGGAATTCATGCTGACAAACGTGATTCCTCAGTTGGTGAAGGACGGAGATGGGAAGATGCTTTACATTCAAGATCCCATGAGGGCAGCTGTGATCATGTTTTGTGTGTGGAGACATTATAGCAATTCAGACTGAATGATGCTGAACTTAATCGGCTCTGCACTGCATTGTGCCTGTTCCCAAACTAAACAAAGAGGATTTCCTTCAATACTGGGCAGATTTTTCACAAAATGTCTCAATTCTCAAAAAGTAGGTACCTAATGTTTGTGAATAATCCAGTAATTTTGAAATGACACTTATGATCTACTGACTAAGAGTAATAATTTAGTGATTTCTCAAATAATTAATTTTCTGCTCAGATGCTCATAAAATTATCTTTGTTGTAGTCTGCAAGAAAAGTTGGTGTCTGTGATAAATGCTGTGAAAACAGCGGGAATGCCCCGATGGATTCTGGTACTACCGCTCCTCCACCTCCTCAAAGGCACCACAAAGCCCTTTGAAATACCAACTTGTGTAAACTCGAAGTACGACTTATCCTGGGCAGGTTTGCAAGGCCTTGAAAGGAGTGCCTTAGTATACATGAACAGTCAAGATAAAAAGTAAGATTCTCCTTTACCTTTGAAGTACATAAAATACTTGCACAAATATCCTCCAATGTATTTATTTAGAAATAGATGGATAGTGTTGTACATGTGTTTACCTGCTCTTCTGTTTTCAGGGCACTGCTGAATGCGTTGAAAAACTACAGTCACCTGATGGAAGTGGATGCACTTTTAGTGCGATCCTGCTTGTACTTAGTGTCACTTGATGAACTGATGGAGTGTGTCATCAACACTAACACTGAGCTTTTGGACATTCTTCATGTTTTCACCTTCAAGGCTCCTGTGGATATTTCCTACAGTAACTTTGAGGTAAAATGGAAACACTAGTTGAGAATAATATATGTTGGGGTTGTAGAAAGTTTTGTTAAATTAATTTATCTTTCTTTGATTTCTTTTGTATAGACTGTATCTGACATTCTCTCACATATCCAAGGAAATCTCATAGATGAAAAATACAGGTGATTTGCTCTTCTAAATTTGACAGCTTTTCAATAGAATCTTTTCAAGAAAAGTATGAGATAGATAATCTCTATTTGTTGGTACATTTTTATTGTATTGAGTAATTTGCTGTGCAAGCCATGAAATCAAACTTCCACGTTGTGTTTAACATAATTATTACATTTTATCCTTTAAGCTTCACTTCTGTTTTTGTTTTTTACAGTACTTTTACTGAGACTTATAGGAGAGGGTGCCTATCAACAGCAGTGAAACTGTTGGAGAAGCTCTGCAAAGGAGTCAAATCTCAGTTATATAGCCAGAGATACACTGATATTCCTGTGGCTTGTATGAATCTGGTTGCATCAGTGTCAAACTTTGTCCACTGTAACAAGCAACAGGTATGTGAAGTGAATCTTATAAGGCAAGCTGTTAGCATTTCAGATGCAATAATGTCTTGCTAATCTCATACTGTTCTACTAATTTTCATTTAGGAGACTCAACAAGGGGAAACAGAGCAGGGATATGAAAAAGACTTGATCTCTCAGGCATTAACAATTACCAGAGAATGGATCAGTCGGTTCTTCAGACAGGGTTTGCTCACCAAGGGTTGGTCATCAATGATAAGAGATGAGACCAAACCAGAGATTGAAGTGAGCAATTTTGTTATACTTTGTAAATAATACACAAAATATACATATGGGTGTTCACAACCCATTATTAGTAGAGAAATCTAGAAAATGGTTCTTTTGTTGGTGTGTTTTACAGGTGTGGAACAACATAATCTCCATCCAATTCATAGATGAAGAGTGCACAAAAGAATGGAGACAGACATTCACAATGGATTTTGAGGGCAAGTACAAACAGGTACATGGCATGTTTTTTTCAGATCCATGTTTATTAGATTTTTGGCTAAGCTATAAAATATTAAATATATGTTATGTGTGTGTCTGTCTTTAGGAATCTGCTCTGGATCAAACTGAATACTACTGCACAAAGATAGAGGATCTCCGTGAATCCCATCCACCTGTTGCTGCTAGTATTGAGAAGTGTGCTCTTGAGGCTGTTACATCTTTGTGTCAGGTATGAAGACTTTTTATTTTAAAATCCATAAGTATTAATGGCGTAGCTTGTAACAGTCTTGGTCATATTTAAGAACAATAAAAATTTTATACTGTAGACAAAAATTAGTAAATTACCAGTTAAATAAAAAAATACAATTAAAGGATTTTAATATGCTGCTGAGTCACAGATGCTCTGCTTCTCTTTGCATAGTAATGTTTATGGTTGTTTTTATCTTATATGCAGAGCAAGACTGAGGGAAAACTCTTTGAGAGGTTGAAGATAAACTGGAAGTTCGGGAAACTCATCTCAACCATTATCCAGAAATCCTGGCCAAAGGACCATCAAGGAAATTACCAGGAAGATAAAGAAGTTGTCCTTCAGCATCTCCTCTCCTGGACTGCTGCCAAAAACATTTTCCAACTACACGGTATATCCTTATGAAAAACTAAACCATTTAAACATGCACACACCAGAGA